GTGCCTAAGGCATTTGACTGCTAACCAGAAGGCTGGCGGTTCAAATCCACCAGCCACTCCTCGGAAGGAAGGTTGGGCAATCTACTTCTATAGTGATACCAGACGGCAGTGGGTTTGGTTTGTATTCTGTCCATTGAGCTCTGACTCGTGGCTGCCCTGTGTATAACTGAAATGTTGCCTGCTTCAGTAAAATCTTTGGGATTGTTGGCATGTTTGAGCACAGTCACCAATATTCTGTTCTGTTCCATAGGGGTTTGTTTCATTGGCTAATACTCAGAAGTAGATAATCAGGCCTTTCTTTCTAGTCTGTCTTAGTCTGGAAACTCCACTGATACCTGTCTACCATGGTGACCTTGCTGGTATTTGCAATACCAATGGCACAATTTCCAGTATCACAGCAACACACTAGCCACTACAGGATGACAATTTGACAGACAAGTGGTCTGTGTGTGTGTTAATGCAATGAATACACATGCGCGCACACACACACATATATATGTATATATTTATATAAAAGGTTAGTTGATTTTTGTGACAGTTGGAATGAGTGTTTCACTCATTCCTTTCCTCTTTCTTATTCCCCTGCCTGAGGACTGAAAGACTTCCTTATTAAGATCTCATCAATAATTGATTTCTTAATTAAGCCGATGGTCTTGCATTTTAAAAAGAAAGCCTCTCATACAAGCACCACTTTTTCACCAACTTTTTTTGAGGCAAAGTGTCCTTGAAATAGGCATCCTACTTTCCAAAATTAAGCAAGACTTGAAGAAACACCATTAAGCAAGTGGCTTCAGTGCTTTAAACTTGCTTTGATTATTTGTTCCTGCACAGATGTGCCTCTGTTTCCAAATAATTTTACGTCAATCACTGATTCTGAAACAGTCATTTCTTTGATGGCTTGTTTCTTCTTTATATACTCTAGTTTATGAAATGTGAGTTACCAATATCAGTCTTTAGAGTATTTTTAGAATGGTGCTGCCTTGAAATATATGCTTCATATTCATTTATCCAGTTTTTACACTTTCAACATTTGTAAGCCAAAAATAAAGATGCTAGAGTTTGTAATTTAATTATATGATTTGTTCTAAAAGAAAATTAAAACTACAACCAGAAAAAGAAGCAGTTTCTATAGAAAAATTTAAACAATGCATTATATTAAAACTTTATTCTTCTGTCCCTTGGAAAGCTTGAGCTTTTAGTTCAATATTTTGAACAGGATGATAACAATAGCATACATTTAAATTTCTAGATTCCAGACAAATCTTGAATTTCCTCAAGAAATGTGTTTCTGAGCACTCTTGGGGCCTTCAGCCTTTCATTAGAACAGATTTATAGGAGCTACGTGAGTGGTTATTCCATCTGGGCGTGGAACTTTAAAATCATACCATATGATTAAATTAAACTACTTGGAAAATCTGGATCTGTAACTTTAGAAACATTTTAATGTACCATAACTCCTCATTAACCCCTCAATATTTTGTCCTGTGACCACCAGATGTTAATAAATGCTAATATTATAGTAAGGGACATGTTTCAAATGCATTATTATCATTAAAGATCTTCTTGTTCTTAATGTAATAATAGTTTAGAAATTTAAATATTAATATATACCAAAAAAACCAAACTCACTGCCATTGAATTAATTCCTACTCATAGCTACCCCCTTTGGGTTTCTGAGGCAGTAAATCTTTATGGAAGTAGATTGGCCAGTCTTCCTTGTGCTGAGTGGCTGGTGGGTTTGAACCATCAACTTTCTGGTTAGCAGTCAAATGCCTAACTATGCCATCAGAGCTCCTTATATTAATATATACTACCCTGGAATGGAGTCCTGGGGAAGTGTAAATGATTAACATGCTCAGCTGCTAACCAAATGTTAGAGGCATCATGGAAGAAATGCTTGGCTCTCACCTTCCAAAAAATCATCCATAAAAAATCCTAAGGAGTACACTTCTACTCTGACACACGTGAGATTGTCATGAATCGGAGTCAGTGACAACTAGTACTTGAATGGTCTAACTTACTTAAGTTGTATTTAACCAAGGTGGGAACATTTTACTCTAAAGAGGATAGAAATAAGATAATATTATGCATTTCTTATTTAATATGTCTTAGCATGTAGGCATGTAGTATGTGCCAAGTACCCTCTTATTGCTGGATATGAATAAATAGACTATTAAGACATGGTATGACAGACAAATGAAATCTGCTGATTATACTTCCAAAGGGAGCTCTGGTAGCATAGTGGCTAAGACACTTGCCTGCTAACCAGACGGCTGGCGGTTCAAACCCACCAGCCACTCCTCGGAAGGAAGGTTGGGCAATCCTACTTCCGTAGTGATACTGCCTCGGAAACCCAAGGAGGGGTCGCTATGAGTTGGGGCCGACTCGACGGCACATAACAACAACAACAACATACTTCCAAAACACAGATGATGCTAGGTTTAGGCTGAGTGTTTTCTTACTCTTTATCAGCACGTCATGACAAAGATACGGTGGTCTGCTTCCACAAAGATTACAATTTTGGAAACCTTATGGGGGCAGTTCTGTTCTGTCCTATAGGGTTGCTGTAAATTGGAATTGACTTGAAGGCAAAGTGTTTGTTTTTTTTAGTATCAGCATATGACCTACTACCCAGTGGCAGTGAAAAAAAATAGTGTTTTCAGGAAAACATTGCTATTCTCCCCCCTTTTTTTTCTGATCTTAGTAATTGTCTCAGGCTTAATCCTGCATCCCCTACATACTGTCTATTATGCTTATTTTAATGGAAAGAGCCCCTTCCCAACTTCTTTCATTGCACTCCAGAATTGCATTATTCTAGAAGTCCTGTTCAACTGCCACCTGGCCCTCCACTGTCTTCCTGACTTCATCTGTGCACCTATGGCCATGAATTGTGTTGCTGTCACTGTTCACTCCATCTGCCCTTTATATAAATTCATTCTGTACTTATGAAGAGCGTCCTGTGTACCCAGCAGGGTGCTACCACCATGGAGGAAATAAAGATGAATAAAACAGGGTCTTGGAGGAAATAAAGATGAATAAAACAGGGTCTTGTTCTGAAAAAGTTTCAATTTAATATCAAAGACAAATCATATATGGATAAATACAGTGCAAGGTAGAATAAAATAAATGCCATCAGTACGAGTAATAATAGTAACTGAGCACTTGTTTTGTTTTGGTTTTAACTTTTTGATCGTGATTTGGGTGAAATTTTACACAGCAGATTCATTTTACATTCAACAGTTCATACACATTGTGTTTCATGACACTGATTATATTCCCTGTAGTGGAATAGCTCTCCCCCCGTTTCCTCTCTGTTGTTACCCTTTCCCTGTGCCCTTCCACCTGTGCATCCCTGCCTCCCTATCTTTCTCCCTGTGCAAATACTGCCCTTCTAATCTCCCGTGGCTGATAGTTCTAAGGAGTGCATCTCCCTGATATAATGTTTGACTAGTAGACCTGTCTGTTGTTTGTCTGAGAGTTCAGTCATAGGAGTAAGTTCAATTCCAGGGCTGAAGAGTGACTTGGGGCCATAGTTTCAGGGGTTTCAGCAGTCTCTACCAGTAAACCTGGTCTTTTTTTTCTTTTTTTTTTCATGGTTCTGAATTTTGTTCCACAGCTTTTCTCACACTCAATCCAGGATCTCCAATTTTAATTCCTTTCTGAGTGGTTCGCTTGGTAGCTGGGCCACCATCTAGTTCTCTGCCAAGCCCCTTATATTCATGATCTCATTTTAGTCCTCTCACCATCCCTGGAGTCCTAGAGAGGTTAAGTAACTTGCCCAAAGTTGTCATAGAGTTTGATGAAAGGAAAGATGATTCCCAATGGGGGTTGAGGGACACTTCATGGAGGGGCTGATATTTCATTAGTTTCTTGGTAGGCTTTGGATTAGTGGGGAGGGTCACTGGGGAGGGGGGGAATCCTTAGGCAAAGGACCAGAGGAACAAAGGCACAATAATAAGGAGTGAGAATCATAGCTAGAAAGAGTGGAAGGTGTGGCCCCAAAGGTAGGCTGGGGATTCATGAAAACAAAACCAAACACTTGCCATCAAGTAGATTTTGAAGGAGGACTTATAAATGCCATGGTGAATAATAGGGCCAACTCTTCTCTGGGCCATTGAAGTCTTTGTGAAAGAGTTTCCATTGCACCTGTGCTAAATTGCAGCCACCCTCATCACATCCTATTGAATGGTTTAAGGGGTAGGGGAAAAGATTAATAAAATGCCACTGGAATGACCTGGGCTGGTTATAACAAGGGTTTGAACAAAGGCATGAACTGTTGCCATTTATTTAAGCTTCCTGAGAGCCTGGCTCTGTGCTTGGTGCTTCTCTTGCATTATCTCATTTGATCTTCACTACCCAATTTTGTAAGTTAAATTCACTCCCACCTTAGAGAAGGAGAATGGTCTTAAAGAATTTAAGTAACTTCTCCTAGATCACACAGGGTTTAAGAGGCAGCAGGCTGGAGTCTGTTACCAAAGGTTGTACTCAAGTACAGAAGTAAATAATTTTATTGGAATAGTGGAAATAGATTGGAGGCATTACTGGTGTAGACACCCTACAACCTGTTAACTGATTGGGCAGTCAAATGAGGAGCAGAAGCGAAAGTTCACTTGAAGGTTAACGGCCTGGGACTAGAGGGTGGTGGGCTCCAGACAGGCACAGGAAACAAGAAAGGAGTTGCTTTTTGGTTAGGACTTGCAAGAGTGATCTTAGGTAAAATGAGTTCGAGGCACTTGGGAAGATGTTGTCATGGCTGTTAGGAATGCAGTTCCCTGATAAGGGGCCATGCTGAGAGAATCTACTGCCACTCCCAGTCCCCGCACCTTTGTTGCTTTACATAATCTTTTTTCCCACCATGCTTGTTTCGATCTGATAGCTCCAAATAGCTCCTTCCTGTCAGACTTGTCCCAGATATTGCCAAGATGAGCTCCTCCTGATTTCTGTATAATTTTATCTCAAGCAGGAAGTAATCTCAGTGAAGTATTACATCCTCTGTGAAGGGACCAGTTTCTCTGTTTTTGTGCCATGACCATTTCCTGCCATATATTATTGGTTCAACCTAAAAGTGCTTAAAACTACATTGACTGAAAGTAGGAGCAAAACAAACAAATGCTTCTTAATTAACTTCTAGTTCTTTACCCTTTTGAAAATTCCTTGCTAATCGATTGATATTTAGTGATAGAGTTTTCCCATTTTTTAATTCCAGTAGCCTGTATTGAGTGCTGTTCAATCCAAGGAGTTTTACTTTTAGTTAGCCAGCTGGTATAGAAACCTATCCATGCATTCATTACATTGCTAGAACATTGTTCCAGATTATAAGAACTCTAGAGCTTTTTCTCTATGCACTCTGGTGGTATAGTGGTTAAGGCATTCAGCTGCTAACCAAAAGGTCAGTAGTTCAGACCACTAGCCCCTCCATGGGAGAAAAATGAGGCAGTCTGCTTCAGTAAAGATTTAGACTCCTGGCTGTGGATTTGGTGGGTTTTTTTTCTATTTATGGCTTATTCTCTAGACCTTTTAAATAATAAAAATAAATAATAAAATCAGGTTTCCTATCTCTTCTGACTTCCTCTCTCTCTTCCCATCTTTGCTTTTTCCCTCTTCTCACCCCTCTTTTTTGCTTTCCTCATCTTTTCCTGCTCTCCTGTTTTCTAAATAAACTTGTGAGAGGCAGTCCTTTGGAATCCATGAACCTGGATTGGTCACAGCAAAAACCCATTGCCATCGAGTCATTTCCAGCCCATAGTAGAACTGCCCCAAAGGGTTTCTAAGGCTGTAATCTTTATAGAAGCAGACTGCCACATCTTTCTCCCATGGAATGGCCAGTGGGTTCAAACCGTCCACCTTTTGTTTGGCGGCCAATTGTTTAACTACTGTGCCACTAGGATTCTTCAAGGTCGGGACATCCACCATTAAGCTTCTGGGGGTCTTTGAACTCCTTAGAATGGATACTTTATATACATTGTTCTTGACCACTCTTCTGGAATTGTTTTTAGATGGAGTCTTTGAGCCATGAGTCTGGTTTTGATTCTCCCACGAAGTTAAGGGAACAGAGACATCTGTTGATTTTCTAGGATTAACCAGATACCAAAAAGAAAAGTCCTTTAAACACAATGTGATGATTCTTACTCATCACATACTAACACCTGCAGTTTGATTTTTGTTAATGTATATTAAATTGTGATGGCTTTATAATAGTGACATTATGCACACATGGGGATAATCTTAGATTGCATATTAAGTACTTTTCCCCCCAGGTCACAGAATTGTCAGGTGAAACTCAGAGAGGCGAGAAGGTGAAGATCACTATCACTCTGACGAGGGAGCTGCCATCAAGCTCACCCGTGTGCATCCAGGTTTTCAATATCATCTTTAAAAAGTAAGATACTTTAAATGTAGATTTAATTTAGGCTAATGATACCTTTAAGCATAGAGCCTGGGTATTAAAATCATCAACCATTTTGTGGGTAATGTGCCAGCAACAATATCCTCTGTAGGACAAGTTTTCCTTTTAATATTATGCTAGAATTTTCATGGACTTGTATCAGGAAGTGCAACACAGTCCATCACGATCTCTCACTGGTGCAAATCATTTAAACAAACAAAAAAACAAACAAACAACCCAGTGCTATTGAGTCGATTCTGATTTATATAGAACAGCGTAGAACTGTCCATAGTGTTTCCAAGGCTGTAAATCTTTACGGAAGCAGACTGCCACATCTTTCTCTAGCAGAATGGCTGGTGGGTTTCAACTGCTGACCTTTTGATTAGCAGCCCAGTGCTTTAACCATTGCACCACCAGAGCTCCTCACATGCAAATCATTATTATCAATATTATCCAAGTCGACTCAAGGAACTCCAGCGTTATACTGTCTCACTGGAATTAAGGAGGGTGCCTTTTTCCTTTTGTTCTTCCTTTTCTGTCTGCCTACCCAGATTTAAAGTTCAATATGTTTGAGTTATGATGAGGTAGTGGTGGTTCGGTGGCAGAATTCTTGCCTGCCATGCAGGAGATTAGAGTTCAATTCTTTGCCAGTATCTTTCATGTGTAGCCAACACACGTCCGTCAGTGGAGGCTTACATGCTGTAGCTTCCAGACTAAGAGTAGGAAGAAAAGCCTGGCAATCTGCTTCCAAAAATCAGTCATTGAAAATCCTATGGATTATAACAGTCTGATCCATAACCATTCTTGGGGATGACATAGGACTGGGCAACATTTCTTCCCATTGTGCGTAGTGCCGTGAGTCAGGGATCGACTGGATGGCAGCTGACAACATAACATGCTTGAGTTAGTAAAGAGGTTTTTTTCTTCTATCTCATTTATATTGGGCATGAAAAGACATCACTATTTTCTCTCTGTCCTCCTTCCCACCTTAGCCTCTTCCTCCCCCCCCCCCCCGTTTCCACGTGGGGGCAGAGGGAATATTATAACTAAGATTTCCAGTGTTTCCTTGACTGGTCTGAGGGTCACTTGCTTTAAAGTCACCCTGGGGAATTCCCTGGCCCCTGTCCAGACCTAGTAAGTCAGAATTTCATTTTTAGCAATGAAACTTTTTAGCAAGCTTCCCAGGTGACTCGTGAGTACTTTAAGGCTCGAGAACTGCTGGTTTTCATGTTACTAGTGTGGGTCATGAAGGTGGTCTGCTCAAAATCTTAGATGCAAGCAAGTCCCCAAAAGGCCCCTGGAGAGGATAAGGACAGGGAAGTTTTGGGTTTGCTGAGTAGGGCACGTATAGGAACTTCCCACACACAGATAGTTTCCTAATGTTTGTCAGACATCTTTGGATCATATCTGGGCCTCCACTCTGTGCTTGGTACTCACTCTTCAGAAGCCAGTCTTACAGATACCACCCTGAGAAAGAACTACTTTAAATCATCGAACAGTGGGAAGATGGTTTTCATTTACAAAGCTCTTTCGCTTCTGTTTTTTCTTACTTGATCCTCTCACTAGAGTACCATGAGGCAGGTACTATCAAAGTCCCCATTTTACAGATGAGAAGGCTGAGGCTCCATGATTGTACCCAAAGTCACACAGTTGGAATCCCTGTTCTCTGTCTTGAAGCTCCCTACTTTCCCCCCATGCACTGGGCAGCCTCACGTTGATGATGCCTTAAATTCCAAAAGCGACCAGAATTGCTGTCTTAAGAGGCAGCCTTCCTGTTTGGGGCATCTGAGGTAGCTTAATTAGAAACAGACTCTTCATCTCAAAATAGAGCAGATGCCAAAAGAGACTTTAGACATCACTTGCTTCACCCATCCAGGCTAACCAGAATCTTACAACCACAAGTCCTAATTGGTAAGTAACCACATATTTATCTTTATAGTTAAATGCTAACAGATAAAGATAATTTAGTTGTGTCATTCTCAAATAAGAAAAGCAATAGTTGTTTTATATACACTCATATGTATATTTAAGGGAGCTCTGGTGGCGTAGTGCCTAAGGCATGTGACTGCTGACTAGAAGGCTGGCGGTTCAAACCCACCAGCTACTCCTCAGAAGGCAGGTTGGGTGATACTGCCTTGGAAACCCAAGGAGGGGTCACTATGAGTCAGATCCGACTCCATGGCAGTGAGTTTGTTTTTTGGTTTATGTATATTTAGTATCTAAGCCTTCCAATGCTATGCACATTATAATTTTGTATTCTCTATATGTTTTTATCATTATTTTCAGCATTGGTATAAACTTACACAGTGTTATTGACTGATATTTACCAAAGTTTCAAAAATATACTTGCAGGATCTTAAAAAAGTTGTCCATGTACCAAATTGGACGGAACTACTATAATCCTTCAGCTCCAGTGGAAATTCTCCAGCACAAGTAGGTTTCTTTAAATATTCTGTTACTCTGAAATTGTTATATTTTAAGCAACCTAATTTGCAATGCAGTATTATGTGATTATGCCTCCTATGAGATACTCCATAGTATGAAATGTAATGGATTTTTGTAATTTTCCACTTTTTCTCTAGAATGGTGAATGTCAAGCTAGCAGTCTGTTTTTTTTTTTTAATATTATTGTGTGAGATCATTATCACAAAGTTCACAAATAACTCTGTCTTGGATGATGTATAGCCAGTATGCGCCTTAGAAGCGAGGATGGTGAGGTTTCTTCTCTCCTACATTGGTCATGAGGAGCTCTGGAATCATAGTGCCTAAGGCACTTGACTGCTAACCAGAAGGCTGGCAGTTCAAACCCACCAGCCACTCCTTGGAAGGAAGGTTGGGCAATCTACTCCCATAGTGATGCTGCCTCGGAAACCCAAGGAGGGGTTGCTATGAGTTGGGGACAACTCGATGGCACATAGCAACAACAACAACACATTGGTCATGCTGTCAGGAGGGACTAGTCCCTGGAGAAGGATATCATATCTGATAAAGTAGAGGGTCAATGATAAAGGTGAAGACCTTCAGTGAGGTGGATTGACACAGTGGCTGCAACAGCGGGCTTAAGCATGACAACGATTGTGAGGATGGAGCAAGATTGGGCAGTGTTTGGCTCTGTTGTACTGTAGTCAGTAAGAGTCAGAACCGATTCAATAGCCCCTAACAACATCAACAGATCATTATCATAAGTTCTTGAAGAAATTCAGAAATGTAATTCCTTTTGTGTGACAAGTAATAACCAAAATAGAGTACACTATATTATGTATAACACATAGTTGGTATTCCTATTTCTTGCTAAAAGGGAATTAGCACAGGCAGGGTGGTAAATAAGAAATCATCTATTAAGCAGAAGTCAACCAGAGAAGCCAACCTAACTACCCTGGAGATACAGAATTTTCCATCTAAATTGGAAATTAGGTGCTTCAGGAACAGTGGTCAGATATATCTTGTTTAAACTGTTGGTTACTCAACTTTCCAAAATCCATAGTCAAGCTAAAGACAAAGAGACAACATAGTCCAAAGACAGATACATAAACAAAGAGAAAAAGTGCTTAAAAAGATAGAGACTGGGGGCAGGGTTTTGGCCTTCTACCAGATGGAATAAAAATGACCTGATTTCTGTATGCTAAGTCAGTGTCAGGAGCTCTGTCTATTCTGTTCATTCATCTCTGTTACTTACCTCTCCACCTGGACTAGAAATACTCGTAGGTCCAGAAGTGGGTTGAGTTAGGGGTCTGTGCTCAGTGCATATGATTGTCCTGAAAGTTAGTAAATCAGGTTCACAAAAATATAAAATGGAATTCTATCATGCCATTTCTTATTCAAGGCTTTTCGGTCTACAGCATTTATAAATACAGAAAAGACTACAGTTTCTCTTGTTTATTTGTACATGATATCACTTAAGTATTTCTTAGTCTCATTATTGTGTCTATCCACTTTCTTTACCTTTAAGTGGGTATGCTTTTCTGAACCTAAAAGTTGTCCTATGGAACAGATCAGTCCATAAACATATCAATCATTTAGCTGTAGGTCTCAACCAAGGGGAATTTTTCCCCACAGGGGACATTTGGCAATGTATGGAGACAGTTTGGGTTGTCACACTGGAGGGCTGCTACTGGTATTTAATGAGTATTTAGAGATGGTGCTAAATGTCCTACATTGCACAGGACAGCCCCTATCAAAGAATTATCCAGTCCCAAGTGTTAGTAGTACCAGGATTGAGGAACCTGTTCTACAGGAAATGTATTTAATCCTGAATATATGTGTAAAGATACTATACCTAAAAATAACTATACAATTTCAGTCAGCAACTTGAATAAATCAGACGAAAGAAAATATTTCCTGATAAAATCCAGAGAATTCTAATGTAAAATCACCATTTTTAAAAAGTGTATTATTTTTCTGGTATAACATTATTCTATTTTTTCATTTTTTAAAGATTGTCCCTTTGGCCTGGATTTGCCATTTCTGTTTCACAGTTTGAAAGCAGGCTGCTGCTTAGTGCTGATGTGTGTTATAAAGTCCTCCGGAATGAGACTGTTCTGGAACTCATGACTGGTCTCTATCACAGGACTGGCATGTCCTCCTTCACCCAGGCATGTGAGAAAGAGCTGTTGGGACTTATTGTCCTCACAAGGTAAAAGCTTGAGCCTGCATTTAAATAAATTGTTTTCAGAAATGAAATGTTTTATGGTATATGGGAACTGGAATAGCTGTCAGGGCGTTGCCCTGAGCATAGATCACTTTACTCACCAATTTAGAGGCCTGACTGATCTCAGTCGTCTAGACTTAAGACTTCCTAATGTGGCTTTCTGTATTGTCACACTCTGACACGTTCTGCCTTTTATCTCTTGCTGTACACCAACTCCACCCACCCACACTCTCCTTGTTCTAACCTCTAACAGTCTGCACTTTGCTGCTTTAGTACCTCTGTCTGGATCTCCCACTCTTTTTTTTTTTTTTTTTAAATTACCGTGGAAGGAAGGTTGGGCAGTCTACTTCCGTAATGATACTGCCTCAGAAACCCAAGGAGGGGTCGCTATGAGTCAGATACAACTTGATGGCAGTGGGTTTGGTTTATTTTGGTGGTAAAAAAGTATATATAACAAAAAAATATGCCATCGAGTGGATAGATGGGTGAATAGGCTGAACAATCAGGTATATCTAGGCAGGGGGAAGTGTGCCCATGGCCATGTATAGGCTTGGCAGGCGATGTTTCTACATGTGTATTTGTATGTGTTGTAAGAATTTCTGGGTGTATAGTAGAACTGACAAGGGACAAAGTTGTGGTGGCTTCTTGGTCACCGCCAGCTACCCTGAGGGAGCAAGTAGTTGGACCTGTGAACTCAGGACCATGGTCGCAGGAGACATCAAGTTCAATTGTCACAACATGCTATGCAAAAACATTATTCTACATCCTACTTTGGTGAGTAGTGCCTGGGGTCTTAAAAGCTTGCAAGGAGCTATCTAGATGCAACGATGGGTCTTATTTCACTCAACATCATGCTTTCAGGGTTCATCCATGTCACAGCAGGTATTAGAACTCCATTTTTCTTAACGGCTGACTAATATTCTATTGTATATATGTACCACATTTTATTTATCCATTCATTCAAAATTTTTAATAGACTTTATTTTTTAGAGCAGTTTTACATTTATTGAAAAACTGTACAGAGAGGGAACCCTACCCACCATTTCCCCAGTTACTAATATCTTGCATTTTTATGGTACATTTGTTAACATTGGTGAATCAACACCGATAAAAGATTATTAACTAAAGCCCATAGTTTACATTAGACTACACTCTTTGTGTTGTACATTTCTATGGGTTTTGACAAATGCACGATGTCTGTGTTCACCAATACAGTATCCTACAGAATAGCTTCACTGTTTTAAAAAGTTCCCTGTGACCCACCCATTTATCCCTTTCTCCTCCATGCAAGCCTCTGGCAACCACTGATCTTTTTCCTCTCTGTATAGTTTTGCCCTTTCCAGAATGTCACATAGTTGGAATGATAAAGTGTGTAGATTTCTTAGATTGGTTTCTTTCACTCAGCAATATGCATTTAAGCTTTCTCCATGTCTTTTTGTGGCCTGATTATTTTTATAGCTGAATAATATTCCAGTGTATAGATGTACTCCCACTTGTTTATTCATTCACCTATTAAAGGACATCTTGGTCTTCCAGTATTTGATAAACTGCTAAAAATATTTCCTTTTGAAATTCTACTCCTTTTATAAGGCCCAGCTCAAATATCACCCCTTCTCTACCCACTCAGTTGGAATTAACTAGTCCCCTCCCCAGTGCTGCTCCCATAGCACTTTGCTTATAGCCATTTTATGTTAAAGGACAAACATTAGACCCCTGCCACATCTTCTTTATAAGATGATGAGGTCTTCGAGGTTGGGTGTTTGCCCTCAGTGCACGTTGAACTGAATTAAACACAGGTGGATTAGGTGACTTCCTGAGTACAAATCTCACCATATACTGGTGCAAGTCCTAGAGTATTTCTTTAGAGGACACGCAAGCCTTCTCTTCTGGCTTGGAATTCCCACTTAAAATTGTTTTTCTAGATAACAGAGCAGAAAGTGGGACTGGTTGAATTCCACGCTACTGGGTTGAGAAGGCTAACCTCTTACCTTCCTGTCATGATCCTCATGAATTAGCCTATCACATTATTGAAAAGTCACCTTGGAATGTACAGGGAGCTTAGAATATTCTGCCATAGAATATGTCCCAAGGGCTGGAGCAGCATGAAGATCATTCTACTCTACACTATGCTGAAGGGGAGAGAGAAACAAACAACAGTTGCCACTGATTGTGATTCGTGGTGTGTCAGAGTAGAACTGTGCTCCATAAGGTTTTCAGTGGCTAATTTTTCAGAAGCAGATTACCAGGCCTTTCTTCTGAGGTATCTCTGAGTGGACGTGAACTTCCAACCTTTTGGTTTTGTCAGAAGAAACTAAGTCAATAATAAAATTAATCTATTAGATGAGATTTATTGAGGCCAGATTTGCAAATTGGGTAGTAGCATACCACATGTAGTAGCAATGACTGACTTTTTATAGAAAACAACCTGGAACAAAGAAGCTTATTTCTGATTGGCTTATGCAGTTTACTGTTGAAATTCTGTCAAGATTTCATTGGACAAGAGTGGCCTGATTTATAGGAAAGCTGAACTTACATTTTGGTAAAGACAAGTCTTAGGGACATTGTCCACTTGACCTCCTATGCCATTTTGTCAACCACTCAACTCCATTCTTATTTTACTTAACAGTTAGCAGACCAGTATGTTAATCAATTACCACCCCCAGAAACTCTGCTGAAGCGGAAAAGGAGCTTAGAATGAGAACTTAGAATGATCTTAGCTGCCTTGCTATGCAGTTGCCCACAGCCGGCCCTCATGGGGAGGTTAAGCAGGATACTGAAATCGTGTGGTTGATCAGTCTTCTTTTGATGCTTTTTATCAGAAAAATTGTTTGCAAGTTCAGAAGATTTGAGTGACATCAGAAGTGGAGGGGAAAGTCTTTGAGGAATGCTTTGCCCTTTGGGCATTTAAGAATGATTTACTTGACTTTAGTGCCTGGGTTATGTGAACTATTTAAGGGTAATGTATGCAGCTACTAACTGAAAGGTTGGAAGTGTAAGTCCACCCACAAGAAAGGCCTGCTGACCTACTTCTGAGAAATTAACCACTAACAGTCCTGTGGAATACAGTCTCCTCTGATGCACAAGGGGTTGCCAGAAGTGGGAGTCAACTTGATCACAACTGTTTTACTGGTTACCTAAACTTAAGTGTCAGTGAGAAAAGTAGATTGCAGCACCCACCTATCTAGGGAGATGCACCCCTTAGATAAGTCAACCATGAACATCAGAGGGGTAGCATTCACACAGAGGGAAAGCTGGACAGATAGAAATGCATGGATAAGAGGAGCACAAGGAGGGGGTGGCTACCATTACTGAACATTTTGATCAGCGATTCTATGGAGGAATCCTGATCAAAAGGGAGCAAATGGAGAACAGAATTTCACAATCTTACTGACTCTAGACTTGAAACATGGAGAGTGGATAAACCCCTGAAATTCTTGCTAAACTATGAATCCCTGAAACTGAGATAATCTTTAAACCTTAAAAGAAAAATAGCCCCTGAAGCTTAACTAGTAACAAATGTCTGCCTTAAACGTTGTGCTCTTTCAAAATCTACCCATACGCGATCATTTTGACAACAGCAATTGGAGAGATTAGTTAGGAAACTTAGAAGGCAGTGAGTTCATGTTAATGAGGGAGGAACAACTCAGAAAAGGAGAGTGAGAATGGTTGCACAATCCCAAGAATGTAATCCATGTCATTGAGTCGTACATGTAGTAATTGTTGAATTGGTGTATGTTTTGTTGTGTATATTCTCAGCATTTTTTGAAAAAAGTCATTGGATTTATTCTTAAAAATGTGACTGTTCTTACATTACTGTCTTCCATCATTTCTGAAATTCTGGAATCTTATACTTTGAATTAAAAATTTGGTGAAATGGCAGCTTATCTTGTATGATTTGGAACTTTTTTTTTTAAAAAAAGATCTCTTGCATTTCTCCAGATACAATAACAAAACCTATCGCATTGATGACATTGACTGGTCCGTGAGGCCCACACACACCTTTCAAAAGCGAGATGGGACTGAGATCACCTATGTGGATTATTATAAGCAGGTAGGATCAGTGAAAGCTGCCGTGAAGTCTCGTTTACTCATCCCTTCCCTCAGAGTCACTGTGTTGCCACTGAGAAGCAGTAAAGTATAGCAATCCTGAGCTGGGACTGGGTTTGACTCTTGCCTCTAACAGTTACTATATGTGTGACCTCAAGTCACTAAACCTCTTTGTATCTCAGTTTCCTAATCTGAAAACAAGGATAACGGGATCTCATACCCATACCCATATGGTGAGGATTAAATGCGTTAATATGTGTGAAGCTTTTAGAACAGTACTTGTTGAATAGTAAGTGCTCTAATAGTATTAAAACAAAAATTGTATTAATCCAGTAATAGAAATTGATTGAAGTTTATTCAGTATATGATTTGCTAACCAGGGTAACATTTTGACTAGAGAGTCAAAGATGTTCTAAGGAAGAAGAATCTTCCACAGATTTTTGTACTACAGTTTATCACTAGTAAAACAGTATGTAATCAATAGGTTGGCATATGGCATTGTCTTGAAGAATAATTATAACAGTTTCTGGTTTACCCTAGAAAAACAAAAACAAACCCTCATTGCTGTGGAGTCGATCCCAACTTTTACAGAAGTAGATTGCCCAATCTTTCTTTTGATGAGTGGCTGGTGGTTGTGAACCGTCAGCCTTCTTCTGGTTAGCAGTCAAATGCCTTAGGCACTATGCCACCAGAGCTCCTGGTTTACCCTAAAACATAACTCTAATCTGACTTTTGGAGTCTCTGTTTCTTGGAACTGACTACCATAGATAATTCTTCAGAAGATCACAATACTTAAGTTAAAATGGTCTTTACTAATTAGCTTAGACTATTGGTTGACTTACTTAAAGTGACTTTTAGGAGATCAGTTTCCTCAAAATTTAAGGTTCAAAGATCATTTAAGGGTGATAACTTGTGTGGGTCACCCCAGCCTCCATGGAACCCAGAAATCTATATACCATGAGAGTTAAAACATCCTTTTTGAATAGTCTACATATATAAATATAGGTAGCAATTATATATATAATGTTAAATATAAAAAATGTGTATGTGTAAGTACATATGTACGTATACACAAGTACTTTTTTTTCTTGTCTTTTTCCTTAGCTCCTTTCCTCTTAGAGAAGTTCTCCCCTTTCCAGGTTTAACAAGTTCCCTGATTGTCAGGCCAAATCTTCCTCCTTCATAAGTCTCTGACTTGTCCCTTCTCTCCAATCCCTATCATCCCTGGCTTGGCTAAGGCCCTCATTCTGTCTCCTGTAGTTTTTCTTCCTGTAGTCCAAGTAATCACCCTAAAAAGCATATCTGATAATATTACTTTTCTGCTTAAAGTATTTCCTTGACTCCCTGTTGCCTTAGAGCTAAATTGAAGCTACTTGGCAGAGTTCCCAAGGCCCTTTATGATCAGGCACTCCCTGCATTTTGAACCTTATTTCTTACCGTCTGCTGGTTCCCTTCCTAAAATGCTGAACTTTAACTTTTGTGGTTTCTTGACTTAGTTACTCCCCTGTGTACTCACCACAGTTTGCTTCCTTTGTCTGGACTCTCCTTTGCAAACAGCCAAACCCTACACACCCTTCAGTGCTCAGCTGTCAACTCTCAGGGTGCTTCTGGATGCTCTCCCCAGGGCACCCTTCCCTGCATTTAGTGGGAAAACTGTGACTGGTCAGAGTCTCCTTTTGGACCTTGCTTGAGCTCTTAAACTTGTGCCTTGAACTCTTTATTTCTGTATACCCAGTACAACTACTTTGCCTCTAGTAGATACTCAAACATGTATTGATTGAATCTCCTGCTGCCTTTGGGAGCTTGATTCACAGTTACCAGCCCCCTTTCCATTTTTAGTTCTTTTGTGGAGGGAGAAAATCCACTTAGTTCGTGCAAATGAAATTAAGAGGATTTTCTTATAAATTTTACATACGGATGTAGGAAAGCACCAGCTCATATGTATGAGAACTTATGACTTCTACTAACAATTTCTAGCTGAAAGCAGATACAGCCTGTGGAACAAAGATATTATAATACAGTGGTTTAATTGGTTAGTCTTTGGTTGATATCACAAGGAGGGTGGGTTAGAGGTTGGGAACAGGCTTCTATTGGATAATTGGATATAGAAAATCACAATGATTTGTTTCAGGAACTAATTACAGAGCTTTTAAAAATCTCACTCATGTAACTTTCAGGTGGAATCGTAAAAGATTGATGTTTGCACAGCTTTAACCAGATATCTTAGGAGTGGGTGAAAACTCCTCTTGTGTCAGGATCTCATTTCCCTGACACAACTTGTTAAACAAAACTTTTAAGGAGTCTGGGAAACTTGGGTAAGTTTAGATAAGGCCAACTTTAAACCCTTACAAGCAGTTCTCTTTATCACATCTTTGTCATAAAGAAATGTTTCTTTGGCCCACTTTATACAAAAGACACCTGTGTCAAGATTCCCTTCCTTAGAGGGTAATTCCTTTACATCCTGGCTTGATTATGGAGAGAGATTACTTCTTAGTTTTATGGCTTCCAGTAATTAACACAGCCAAAAAACAGGAGCCTATAGAGGGAAACTGACTTTCAGCTAAACAGATTCCCAGGCTGGCAGATCCATAGAAAAGAGTTTAATACAACAAGAATGGAGTGAAATTCAGTCATTTAGCTTTGGTCATCAAGCATTAGGAATTTCTCCTTTACACTTCCAGAGGCTCCTTCTTTTTAAGGTGCAATCATATTCAAATCTCAGAAACCTCACAGATATTTTTAAAAATGAAATATTATACACAAGGCAAAACCCTTCCTTGCTTTTTCTACACTTCCAAGAAAAGCCACGTCCTTTTCCTAACTAGAGAGCTCTGGTGGCTCTATAGTTAAGGCAGTGGGCTGCTTCCAAAAGCTTGGAGGTTTGAACCCACCAGGTCCACAGATGGGAAAAAGATGAGGCTGCTTCCATAAAGATTTACAGCCCTGGAAACCTGTGGGGGTCACTATGAGTCAAAATAGACTCAGTGGCAATGAGTTTGGTTTTTTGGGTTTTTCCTCACTAACTTTTACTGAAAGACAACTACACTAGCTCCATACTCATCTTCAGTTCCTCTCTTCTAGAGCCTCAGCAGTCTGGCTTCTGGCCCTGCTGCTATGGAAATAGCTCTGTGAAGGTCAAATTCAGTTACTCTTCTTATCCTAAGGGGCTTTGGGTGGCATTTGACACTAGTGACCATTCCCACCTGCTTGGACTGTGCCCTCCTTGACTCCCGGATGACACATCCCTTGTGGTTCTCTTCTAGGTTTCGGGTTGTTTTGTCTCAGCTTCCTTTGATTTCCTCCTTCCTTTCTCCCAAATGTTGAACATTATTATTAACCATGGTTCCCTCATGTAGGAATTCTTCTTGTTCTGAGACCACCCAAATATATTATTTTTCCTTGCCCTCATTCCTACATTGCACACTCATCTCCATTTTCAGAATATATTTGCATGAATATCCTGCAGGCATCTCAAACGAACATAATTTAAACTGAATTCATTGCCATTCCTATTCCTGTTTCTCCTTGGGAATTTGCATCTTGGTTAAGAAGTAATTTTGCTGCTTCCCCCACCCCCACCCCCTATCCTAACCTCCTCATTCAGTTGTTATCAAGATGAATTCTGCCTCTTTTATCCTTGAATCCTCTCTGGAACCAAGCCCCTCCTCCCCAACCCAATTACCACTGACTGCATTAATGCAGAACCTCACTATTTCCTGCCTAAGGCAATGCAGTCACCCCCTTAGGGTCTTCTAGTCCCAGCTCTCTCCCCACTGCAGTGTCATCCTCACTGCCACCAGAGAGATCTTTCTGAAAACATGGACCAAAAATGTGGTTAAGAGCATAAGCTGTGGTGTAAGATGATCCTGGCACTCGCTGTGCAAACTTAGGTTCATGATTAAATCTGAAGTGGCATCTGTAGAGTCCCTGGGTGGCACAGAGAGTTAAGTGCTTGACTACTAACCAAAAGGCTGGTGATTCAGATCCACCCAGGAGCACCTCAGAAGCAAGGCCTGGTAATCTCCTTCTGAACATCACAGCCTCGAAAGCACTACGGAGCAGTTCTACTCTGCACACGAGATCACCATGAATCAGAATCAGCTTGATGATAACAATAACAACGTCACGATTCCGGGTAAACGTTGTATGAGGTAATGCCTTTGGAGCATTTAGCCAGGTGCCTGCACATTATGAGCACAGGGTAAACAGTGGAAACCCTGCCTTTGCACCTCCATCTTCCCCTCCTTCATCTGTGGTGTCACACAGTTTGGGCCCATCTTACCTTTGCAGCCTCATTGCCTGTGGCATTCCCACTGCACACCCATGCTGCTGTCACCCCAGGCCACTTGCTCATCACTAGATAGCCCTCCATTTTGCTCATTTTCACTAGAAGTCTGCATAAATGCACACTGTACCTTGCTCCTTCACCACCTGGTAAACACCTCACTTCAAGGTCAGATGTTGCCTTATTGTGAAGTCTTCTCTGAGTTTGTTTCCTATCTCACCCACGGAACAGTTAGAAGTTCACTTCTCTAAGCATCTGTGCCACTCATCACATTGTTTCTAGAACACATGTTCCTTGTAGAAGAGGGATGGTATATGTGTAATCCTTGATGCACTGTGCCCATGAAAGCATCTTGTATATAAAATGTGTCCCACAATTGTTTGCTAAATACACCCCAAAGTTTATGAAACATTTGGGCCTCTTTTCTGCTTGGTTCCATTGGGGAATCGTGATCAAATCTGCTAACTTTTTTATAATGAGTTGTGGTTCACTACATCCATACTATGATTAAAGGAGGAAGACCTAAGGTGGTGCCATTTCTAGAAGGTGCTTCTTTCTGTTCCCAGGAAAAGAACATTAAATTATTATATGTCTATTTTCAAAGTGGAAGTCATTCTGACATTGACCTTATATTTCTCTGTTTTAGCTTTTCATCGAAAATATTTTCAAATGCTGAGAAGTTTGGGGCAAAGGAGAGGGTAAAATTCCCCTGATGACAGCAGTTTATGGGGCAGAGTTCTTGGTCATGCTCTAGCTAAACAGAGTACTCTTTTCCTGGAACATGCTCATAGCTTTGCTTGAGTGGTTGGTTATCTGGGACAAAGATCCTCTCTCTTTCAATGCTTATATTTTCTTCAAGATCTCCTTTTGAAATTTACCTCCTTCATGAAGCTTCCTCTGATTTACTAGCCATAAATTGTTTCACTAAATCCCACAGGCCAGGAACCCAGTACTGAGTGGTGTGATAAACACTCATCCCCAAACCTTAAGAGATGAATCCTGGCTGTGCTAATTTCCAGATACAGGACTTTGGGAAAGCTGTTTAATTTCTCATGGTATTTATCATTGAAGGGGTGATGGTAGCATCTATCTTACAGCACTGTTAAGATTAAATGAGGAAAAATAGGTGCGTGGTATTAGTTGCTGTCGAGTTGATTACGAAAGCTACAGAGTAGGGCTGCTCCATAGTATTTTCAAGCTCTGACTTTTTTGGAAGCAGATTCCAGGGCTGTCTTCTGAGGCACTTCTGGGTAGGTTTGAGCCATCATCCTTTTGACTAGTAGTCGTGCATCCTTTGTGCCACCTTACTATATCATTATTTGCATCTCTTGTCTACTTTGCTGTGTAGATAATGTCATTGTATGGAAAGGGAGGGGACTGCACCTCTTTTATATCTGTATCCATTTTAGTCCCTGGAACATAGTGAGCACATGATGTACACCAAATTATTGAAATCATGTATGAGAATTCTTTTCTTAAAGGTTCCTTCAAGCTTTATAGCCAAAGCAGTAGTTGTAATCATTTAAAAATGTGATCCCTGAATTGTTTTTTATTTTAATGACTAACATCCTTATTAAAATTGAGCATCTCCCACTTCTTGCTTACTTAATTTTAATTATTGATGTTAGTGTCATATATTGCCCAAGGATTTGTAAAGTATAATTACAGTTGTTCTGTTGTTAGTGTTGAGTAAATTATACTGGAAATTAATGTTCATCAGAACCTTTGCTGTTGGAAGGTAATAGCATTTTTAGCAGGATAAGAAGATTGAAATTCAAGCTTAGGAAGAGAGAAGTTGCAGGAGAAACTGGCAATTGCTGAGACCTTGTTATAAACCAGGCACTATGCTAATGGTTTATATAGGATGCCTCTAAGCTACTATTACCTTCATTGCATAGATAAGGAAAGTTGAGTCTCAGGGAAGTTAAGTAACTTCTCCAGTGGAGTAAATAGAAGAGTTGGGAATCCAATTCACATTTGTCAGGTTTCAGAGCTGCTTTCCTTATCATCATATTATCCTGGAAGTTGAAGAGGATTATGCTATTTTGAGAAATTGGAAGTTGACTCAATATAACCTTGCCTCCAGTTGTGTTTAGATATTATCAAAATGAATATAAATACTTAAAGCCAGGCAAGCACGTGGCGGTCCGCCCTGGTCATCCATGATGAAAATGCTGGCAGCCCCACAGGGGTCATTGCAGTATGTGTAGCACCAGCTGGAGGCTATTCTGAATCTGGGTGAAACCCAGGAGAGAAGAGGGATTTTTTTTTTTCTTTTTTAAATAGTAGATAATGTTGCATTATAAAAGATAATTATTAAAATTATGAAACTGGCCCTCAGAAATAACAGGTAAGTCTTGGGAAGGAAGTAAAAACGAGTAAGTAATCATGGGATCATTTTTCTTCACTGAAAAGATTTGTTTATATAGTACTGCTGCTTACTGTTAATAAACAAGGATGCTCTATATGCAGTGTTTCCATGTTGACTTTTTCCTCATTAATCTTGGATTTTCTAGCAATATGACATTACTTTATCTGACCTAAAACAACCTGTGCTTGTTAGTCTGTTGAAAAGCAAGAGAAATGACAATACTGAGACCCGGATTGCCCACCTGATACCTGAACTCTGCTTTCTAACAGGTAATACTATGATTTATAACTCTATCAAGCCCTGATCACACAAAATACTTCATGGTGGGAAGAACTTACTGAAGTTAGTGGAGTGCTAGAGAGTTAAATTAACCCAGGGAAGATGGTCCCCTTAAGTAATTTATCTCATTAAAGAACAGGAGGAGGATAGAATGTCCTTTGGAATAGTTCACCCTATTAAAAGTTATCTATCTTCTTAATCTTATGTAGTCTGTTTGTTACTTTGATGTAAAATAGGTCCCCAAATATTTCCCTAAGACCAGTTTTGCCATCTCTTGAACTTCACTGGTATAGGAAATAGCTTTTTTTCAGCTATTATTAACCTTGCTCATTGATCCTTATTTTCTTTTTGCATAAGCTTCAGAAGGTAATCTTGCTATAATATAGAATTCGAATAATTATCTGGAGTACTTTTAATAATGTTATTAGGTTAATGAGAGGGACTGTTTACATTTTACACGTTTGTATTGGTAATCAGTTATGGTGTGTATATATTTATTTTGCAACTAGAAAAATTAATGGGGAGCCCTGGTGGTACAGTGGTTAAGAGCTTGGCTGCTATCCAAAAGGCCAGCAATTTGAACCTACCAGCTGCTCCATGAGCGAAAGATGTGGCAGTGTGCTTCCATAAAGACTTACAGCCTTGGAAGCCTTATGGGGCAGGTCTACTCTGTTATAGGATAACTATATGTAGGAATCAACTTGAGGGCACTGGGTTTGGTTTTTATTTTTGGAATCTTTGAGGGGAGGGGTGGTCATTCTTAGTGGTAAGTCTGATATTCTATATCTACACAGTTCAATATGATAGCCACATGAATCTACTGAGCATTTGAAATATGACTAGTGCAACTGAGGAACCTAATGGAGATGTATTATAAGTATATGCTGCATTTTGAAGATTTAGCATAGAAAAGGGGAATCTGATTCATAAATTTTTTATATTGATTACATGTTGAAATAATATTTTGGATATGTTGTTTTCTTTTTAATTTTTCAAATGTGGCTACTAGAAAATTTAAAATTACATTTCTTCAAAAGAAATTGCAGTTTTTGGACAGTGCCGTGCAGGTGGCTGGTCTGATTAAGTCTAAGTGAAAACATTAAGTGGTGCCTGAGATGGGCTGGGTGACATGTTACACTGTTTGTTTTTTCACATTGCTTTTGTTTACATTTAATAGGGCTAACTAGCCAGGCAGTCTCTGATTTCCATATGATGAAGGCTCTGGCTGAAGTCACACGCCTCAGTCCTTTGAGCAGACAGCAGCGGCTGGCCAGGCTTGCTGACGATATTCAGAGGTACTGTGGTGGGCAGGACACCTTTCTGGAACTAGTGTGTCTCTGCCTGGGGCCTAGTTTGTACAATTGAATGTTCTATATGGAGACCCCAGGTAGTGTAAATGGTTAATGTGCTCAGCTGCTAAATGAAAGGTTTGAGTCCACTTAAAGGTACTTGACTGCTAACCAGAAAGTTGGTGGTTCAAACCCACCAGCCACTCCTCAGAAGGAAGATTGGGCAATCTACTTTTGTGGAGATACCACCTCAGAAACCCGAGACAGAGTCGCTGTGAGTCGGAGATGACTCGAGGACACATAACAACAACAACAGCAAAGGAACCTTGGAAGAAAGACCTGGTGATCTACTTATGGAAAATCAGCCACTGAAAACCCTGTGGGTCTGCTGAGTCATGGTCCAGTCAATGCCAACTGGTGGTAGTGGATGTGCCATCATATAGGATGAAATGATCTTACTCTTCTTGATCCAGAGAAGGGTGTTTTTGGGTGGTGGGGTCCTGAGCCCAGAGCATCCTCTGAGATGCCTCAGGGCTAGCAGGTTGTAGGGAGATGGTAGGAGGCCATGCTCGTAACTGAACCACCCTCTTTAGGGAGCTAGACAGCTCTCTTTTCATCTGTCTAAAACATGGAGCCTCTTGATAAAATCTTGAATGAAGAAAAGGGTTCTAATTTAAAAAGCAAAGCAACAAATACCTCAGCTCCCCAATGTTCAGGATCAGTAATGCCCAGATCTTAACATAGTGGCATCAGCACACTGAACATTAGAAAAACCCCAGAATATATTTTTTTCAAACTCGGCAACACCTTTGTGCTTTTGTGGTTCAGCCAGTTTGATTCTCAGACTGAGTTCCTGCCCTCAGTTTGTGACAATTTGTTGAACTTGTGATGGGAAAATTCACCTTCCCCCTGGTTCTCCCTTCTGACTTAAACTGCACTGTCCAATACTGTAACCATTATTCCCATGTGGCTATTTGGCACTTAAAATATGGCTGGTGAAATGTTGAAATGACAATATTGTGGATCTCCATAACCAGAAACTTCAAAATACTCTGAGTGTCAATAAATTCATTAATATGGATGATAATATTACACATCTACTGAGCACATCGCACGTGCAAGACACTGTGCTAATCACTTTGCTTTTATTGTCATATGTAATCATTAAACCAACACTTTGAAGTAGCCACTTTTATTATCCCTACATTTTACCAATAAGGAAACCAAGGCTTACAAAGATTAAATAGTTAGCTCAAGGTCACATAATATTAAATGTTGGAGCAAGACTTAAACCCAGGTCTCTTTGGCTCTATGACTCTTTTTTTTTTTTTTTTAATGATCATTGTGCCAAACTGAAAGCCTTTTCCCATTCCTGTATGGCCCAAATGGCACCATCTTCTCATGATTCTGAGCATTATGTTGTCATGTTCATGAAAGAAATTGCTCAAAAACAATCATGAATTGCTTTGTAGGTGTGCTGAAGAATAGGAAAATAAGAAAAACAAGAAAGGTATAGGGAAATAGAAGCCAGGAATCCTAAAGAAACAGAAAAATTTGTCCCTGAACAACTTAGTAATTTATAATTATATCTCAAATGATTTAAAACTCTTTATAAAATAAGCACTTTAATGATTCAAAACTCAAATCTATCGACAGAAACAAGAATGCACGTTTCGAGCTGGAGACCTGGGGGCTGCATTTGGGATGCCAGACGTCTCTGACTGGCCGTGTGCTGCCTTTAGAAAAACTATTAATGCAAGACCAAGTAGTAAGTTGTGAGGTTTCATTCTCATTCAAAAGAATCCACTTGAAGATATGTACGTTTGACTATTCACTAGACTCTCGTTGTTGGGTGCTGTTAAGTTGATTCTGACTCACAGTACCCCATGTAACACAGTAGAACTGCCCCATAGGGTTTCTTAGGCTGTGATCTTTACAGGAGGAGATTTCTAGATCTTTCTCCCACAGAGCCATTAAGTGGGTTCAAACTGTCAACTTGTCGGTTTGCAACTAGGGCTTAACTGTTGCACCACCAGGGCTCCTTGCAGAGTGACTAGTTGATTCATAATATTCATTTGGCTTCTCCCCAGCCACATCACTGCTCACCTTTTGTCCTAAGCCTTGTGGTCCCCTGTGATTTCCTTTTTACAGTGGACTTGTGTGGGAGTTCTGGTGGTGTAGTGCCTAAGGCATTCAACTGCTGCCAGAAGGCTGGTGGTTCAAACCCACCAGCCACTCCTCAGAAGGAAGATTGGGCAACCTACTTTTGTAGAGATACCACCTCAGAAACCCAAGGAGGGATTGGTGTGAGTCAAATCGACTCGATGGCAGTGAGAGTTGAATGTGTGTGGGCTTAGTGGCATCCATTAGACATATTTTGGCTGATCAGTGTAGTGTACTGTCATGTTTAAAGAAACATTAGAAAATATTTCAAACCATTGTATTACTCTTATATAGATAAGAGTCACAGTACATGAGAAAATTCTATCAACTGGTGAAGGTAACTAAGAATATGTTTCCTGATACCAGAATTGGTTTTTTACTTTCTGTGTCTGTTAATCTTCCAAAGTAAAATGCTACTTGGTATAAAAATTAAGAAATCCACACAAAACCCATCCTTTGACATAACACTGGGGAAGGGTCATGGTAAAACCTGAAGACTCAAATCATTGCCTCTTTCAGGCTTTCGTTGAAGAAACGAGTCTATTTTTTGCAAAAATTGTGCTTTACTGTGGTACTTTTCCCATGTTTTGCCCATTTTTAGAGCCAGTTACATTTCATTTCATTTTTAAAGACTCTCTTCTTGCCTTTATTTAGTATTTAAAAAAAAAAAACAACCAACATGTTTAAATTAATCTAATTGAATGACAAATGTTTCATATTGACAGAATGGGCATTTTTTTTTTCATCTTTTCTTTTTGATAATCTAAGTAATGAAAACCCTTATTGAAGAAACTGAGGGAAAACTACTTTTGAAAACAAAATAAAAATTTTTAAGTACGAAAAACAGGTCCTCTTTAGGATCTTGGTCAAGGGTCGCTGAGAGCAAGTCTAGTTTCAAGCCCTAAGTTCCACATGTGAAGTGGGACTTAAAATAGTTAAAATAATCTGTTTTATTAGCTCTAAGTAAAATCATATCTGTCAGAGCTTTTGTTGTCTTTTTTTTTTTTTTATGGCAATAGGTCTCATATGGAGGGGTACTAAAATAGGAGAACTCGTAGCTAGAGGTGGTGGTGGTTGGCTACATATGACCATGCCATTGACTTCTTGTCCAATTATGCTTTTCTGAAATTGGGTCTTAGCAGCTGTGCAAACTAAAGCTTCACTGACCTCAGGGTATGCCTTGGGCATATTGTCCTGAGTCTCCTCCCACTGTCCACAAGATGACAGCAGGTAGAAGTGTTGTAGGTCAGAGGGCTGTGGCTCTCCTCATACTGGATGTAATGGAAAGGAATGGGCCTTAGCTTCAGTAGAAAGATTTGTGGAGGGGTAGCCTCCCTGTGTTCTAAGGCTAAGGCTGCCCCCAGGGGCTGACTCCCCGCCTGACCACCTAATGGCAAAGCATGCCATGGGTGGTGGCCAAAAGTCAGAACCCTTGGTGGAAGTGGCTGCACCATCACAAAACCTGTATTCTAAGCCTGTGACTGTACTACTTAGTTTCATAACTTCTCTTAGCCACAATTTCTGCATCAGTAAAACAAGGGGGTTCTTAAACAGTGGTGTACTTATGAATCACCAGGGAGAATTTGTTAACCTATAGATTCTGATGCAGTAGATCTGGGGTGGGGCTCAGGACTGTGCATTTCTAACAAGCTCTCTGGGGATGTCCCAGTTACTAGTCCATAGACAATGCTTTGAGTCTCAAGAGATGAGACTATAGTATGATCCCTTTTAATTCTGCCAGCAATTCTTCCTGGTTTTCCACACCAAAGGCATTTCCATTTGATTCCAGTTCATGGGTATAAGCAGATGGCTGGTGACTTGTCTAAAGCCTGCCCTTTCTTCAGTGCAGGGAGCTTGTTATTTTCTTTTTTGGTCACCTGAGGAACTTCAAAGAGTGAGAAAGGATCCTGAATCATGGCTTCATCTCTGCTCCTAGATGCAACTTCTCTTGAGCATAATGTACATTCTTAACTGTCCTGTAGAGTTATTATTGATACCTTAAGTATCAACAATAAGCATTTTCTTCTTGAGATACCTGTATGCCTAATGTAAAGAGATGGTCTCAAGGAACCACATTGGGCAGTCTGCTTGCCTGAGCCACTCATAGTAAAAGTCCTAGATTTTTAATGCTGGAAGGGAACCCCAGAGATCTTTGAAGCAGACCCCTTTCATTGCATGCATTGGAGGTCCGTGAAATAAAAGGACTTGCCCAAGGTCATGCAACCAGTGAAAACATGTATTTTGTTCAGATGTGTAACGCCTATGTTTGAATGACCTTAAGAAAGTTTTTTAACCACTCTACGTCTCATTCTCATTGGCACACTGAGGATTGACTTCTAGTGCCTTCCTACTCTAAAGTCAGATCCTATGACTTTAAACAGTTACAGCTTTAAGACTGTGGATAGCAAACTGTACTAAATACAGATACTTCTCATGATAAACTTGAGCCATTTTCATGCTGTTTTTATTTAGTTGCTCTCTGAATGAATTTGTCCAGTCATTTCATGATCATTCTACTTCTCAGTGTCAACCAGAGTCTGCTGCCGATTGGTCCAAGGATATGCGAACTTGCAAGATTTTAAATGCACCATCTTTGAATAAATGGTTGCTTATATATAGTAACAGAGCTGAAAATGTGACCGAGAGCTTTCTGAGCTGCTTGAGAAGAGTTGGAAGTCCCATGGGATTTAATGTGGACTACCCTAAAATGTGAGAATATACTGAAAGTTATCTCAATTGTTTTTTAATATCTTATCCTGGTTTGGTTAAAGGTAGGAAATAATGGCTGAAATATCCACAAAAGTTTCTTTATCTCAGTAAAGTTTCCTAATATAAGTGCCAAGGAAATAGTTATATGCAGAAGGATTTCTAATGATAAAATATTTATTAAGTTAAAATAGATTTTATGGTATGTTTTCACAGTTCTTTAACAATAGTGTCATTACCTCAAAATCTTCTTCATAATAGCTGGGGGATAAATTTTTAATAAACCTATAAAGACTCTTCAACTCTTTTTCTTACCTTATATCAGTTATTTATAAAACTTAACTGCAAACAAGATAATTAAAAATAGAAGTTGCATTTCCTGTTTTATTTGATAGATGTGGTGCTTTAAAATTTAATGTAAAATAGAAAACTTTTCTGTTACTGTAGCATAAGATGAAAAATTTAGATAGTTTTCTGATAAAACTAAAGTCATTATTTATTCTTTGAACATTTACAGAGTTTCTACAATATGCTAGATACTATGCCAATTGCAAGGATCTCTGGTAGCATAGTGCCTAAGGCACTTGCCTGCTAACCAGAAGGCTGGCAGTTCAAGCCCACCAGCCACTCCTGGGAAGGAAGGTTGGGCAATCTACTTCCGTAGTGATTCCGGAAACCCAAGGAGGGGTCACTCTGAGTCAGGTCTGACAGCACAGAACAACAACAACATGCCAGTTGCTGGGCTTGATAAAGAGAAGTAAGTTGCCTTTAGTCTAGAAAGGATACATACACAGGCACACTCAAACTTAAGTATCGTTCTGCTTTAGAAAAGCCTGGAAAAGCCATGAAGTTGGTGATGCCTCATTTTATTGAAGTGATATGCTTAGAAAAGACAAACACCTACTATACTTCTTTTTCTTTCTTATAGTGGAGGTACAAATGTCCTAATTGGCAGGGTGGAAAGTTATTCTTTAACATACGGTTACTAATTAATTGCACTGGTAGTGCAAGCATTGTTGGAAACCACAGATAGTCCAAATGTCTCACTTTACATGTAGTTTAGAATTCTCTTCTTATCACATCTGTTAACAAATCACCAGGTTTGAGTTTCACCTGCTCTAATTTCTCTTAACCCACCAGAAAAAGATTAATGAAAGCAGGAAAAAATTAATGAAAGAAGCCAGTCAGCAGCCCTGAGGCCATCATCACAGCCTCTTTATCACACAATTTCCACGAGGGAGCCAGTGCCCATGTTCTGGCTTGGTCTGTTTTATTTGAAAATCCAATCTTTCCCTCCCCCTCCCCCATGATGTATCCACTTACTCTTTAGATTTCAGTATGCTTCTCTTATCTAAAATCATTTGCCTGGTGGTCTTAGTAGGAATGGATAGTAAAATAGCTGAGTCTGCATGTAAGATACTGAATTGGAAAAGTCAGAATCATTTAGCTGTTTAAAAATGCTGCAGGAATTCACATATCTCTGTAACAATGTTAATGGAAGATTTAGGTAAATCTTATGGAAGCAGATTGCTGCATCTTTTTCCTTGAAGCGGCTGGTGGGTTCAAACCGCTGACCTTTGCTTAACAGCTGAGCTCTTAACCACTGTGCCACCAGGCCTCCTTCTTAAAGAAAGTAGACTTGTATACTCCCATGTGCAGTGTTATAGAGTAGACAATAAGTGCTTGCTGATTGAATGATTGATTAAGGTTGTTAAGGAGCCTAAACTAAGCTCCAAATAAGCTACCACTAAGGAAAGAAACTTGTTTTGTCTGAATCATGCAGATTAGACAGTCTTAGTCTCATTAAGGTGATGATTATTAAATTTCTCTTTTACAATTCTCATATACATTCAAGATTGTTGTTGTTGTTGTTGTTATGTGCCGCCGAGTCGGACCCAACTCATAGCGACCCCTCCTTGGGTTGCCAAGGCAGTATCATTACGGAAGTAGATTGCCCAACCTTCCTTCCGAGGAGTGGCTGGTGGGTTTGAACCATCAGCCTTCTGGTTAGCAGTCAAGTGTCTTAGGCACTATGCTATCAGAGCTCCTACATTCAAGATTAGCGAACACTTAATCCTGGTTTAATTTGAACCTTGTCTCAGACCTTGATAGTATGATATTTTGAGACTTGTGATTTCACAAGTTCACTTTGAGCCTCATTTGGAATAACAGAATTACTCACTGTAGGGGTTCTGTACAATTGAGATAATTACATTTTCTACTAATTCTGTTTCTTAAGCTAATGAAAAATGATTTTCAAGTGTTTTGTTGCATATTCTCTAGTGGGAGAAACAGTTTTAGACTCAAAAGGTTTAAATTTTTCTCTAATGATTTATTCCTAAAATCACTAGTCTGGTATGAATATCCATTTGTATCATGTCATATGATCATGCCTCACTATGAAAGGAATTAATATGGCTTCAAAATTAATCTTCTTATGTAGCATAAAAGTACAAGAAACTGCAGCTGCATTTCTGAGAGCTATACAGGAACATGTTGATCCTGATGTTCAGCTGGTAAGTATAAGATAGATTTTTGGTTTTAATATGTTTTATTTTTTCTTTGCTCTAACAGTCTTGAAAGAAAGAATTTGAACAAACTTATGAATAACATCTTTGCAAAACGCTATGCATTTCCAAAGTATCCAAGAAAATATTCATCCTAGCATTTTCATCAATAATATTTATTTCCCTTTATATTTCTAATATTAATTTCTAAATACTTATTGTTACCCCCCTTGGGTGTCTGTGTATGTTCTGTTATTGGGGGGTCATCTTTTACTTAAGATTTAAGAGAAAATGCCTCCTACCTTATCTCATAAATGTTGGGACACCCAGTGGTCTTCCCAGTGTTTCAGGAGGTTCTTGGAGGGTTTTGGTTTTCCCGGTCACCTATGACCCTAACTTCCTACTTCCTCTGAATTCTTGCTCTGCTCTTTGTCTTCTTTCACCTTCATGAGTGCCATTTCCTCCTGCAGTAAATCACCCTGTGGGACATCACCAATTGCCCCATTTCCCAAAGTGCCACAAGTATATGTGTGTGTGTGTGTGAGAGAGAGAGATTTGGCAGAGGGTTTGGGGCCAAAGTATGATTATATCCCATCCCATTATTTCAGACAAATTGAAATGGACATCCCTGTTCCTAAAACTCTCTCAACCATTCTCATTTCTTGGCATTATTTTACTCTTTTCCTGGGCCTTAGCCTCCTGCTGTATTGTAGTGCTTTTCCTCTCTCTGTTCCCTCTCTTTTCCTCACCTCCATAACACACTCATCCCAATTCTTTATTATTTCTGTGAACCATTTGAGAATAAGTTGCAGACACGACACTCATTACTCTTGAATACTTGAGTGCATATTTCCTGCAAACAAGGTCATTCTCCTGCGTAACCATAGGACCCACATCAAAGTCACTAAACAAACAGTACAACTAGCTAATCCGCTGACCCCATTTAGATTTCTCCATTTGTCCCAGTAATGTCCATTATAGTAAAAGAACCTAATGCATTGCACCTAGTTGTCCTGTTTATCTAGTCTCTTTTTCAATCTGGAACATGTCCCTCAAGATTTCCTTGACTTTCAAGACCTTTCAGTTTTGAAGAGGACAGGCCCGTTATTTTGTATCATGTCCCTCAATTTGGATTTGTCAGATGTTTACTTGTAATTAAATTCAGGTTATGTGTGTTTGGCTGGAGTGTCGCAGCAAAGATGCCATATCCTTGTTGCATCCTACCGGTGCTACTTATGTCTGTCCCATTATGGTGATGCTAACTTTGATCATTGAATAAGGTGGTATCAGCCAGATTTCTCTATTGTGAAGTTATTCTTTTTCTCTTTGTAATTAATAATTTTTTTTTTTTTGGTTGGGGATGTACTTTGAGACTATGTAAACACCCTATTCCTTATTAAACTTTTACCCATTAGTTTCAGCAGCTTTTGATGATTCTTGGCCTGAACCAATTATTACTGTGATGGTTGCCAAATGGTAGTTTTCTAATTCTGTCATTCCTTCTACATTTATTAGGTAATGTTAAACTAGAAAAGCACAATTTGTCATTTGTTATAGTAATAATAGAATTATACTGAAAAGTGCTTTCTGTTCTCATTTGTTTGTTTGTTTATTTATATCAGTTATGAACTCATGAATCCTTATGTTATTTTCTGGGTAGTAGTCCATTACCGATTTTATTTATTTTAATTCTCAAATTGTCTTTGATTTTGCCAATGGAAGCCTCATTCAAAGTGTCATCTGTGGCTTTTTGACATGGCCCCATCTTTCTTGGACTACTTCCTTAGTTTCCAGTACAATAACATATTTCAGGTTCATCTTATGGTTTTGCTACTCAGCCATGGAATCGGATATTTCTCCAGGGATCTCTAATTCCTTTTGGTAGAGAATGATACTTAGAAACCAAGATCTGGGCACTAGGTGTGCTTATTTGCTATTGGGGTGTTGCTGCCCCCTGGTGTTCCAAGTGGGCACAGCTAGGAAATATGGGTGTGTATGTGTCTATTTACATACCCACTGCTATCCGGTCAATTCTGACTCATAGCAACCCTATAGGACAGGGTAGAACTGCCCCATAGGGTTTCCAAGGCTGTAAATCTTTACGGAAGAAAACTGACTCATATTTCTCCTATGGAGCAATAGATGGGTTTGAAACGTCAACCTTTTGGAGAGCAGCCAAATGCCTTAACCACTGTGCCACCAGAGCTACTTGTCTATTTACATGTTGTTGTTGTTATGTGCCGTCGAGTCAGACCCGACTCATAGCGACCCCTCCTTAGGTTTCCGAGGCAGTATCACTATGGAAGTAGATTGCCCCATCTTCCTTCCAAGGACATAGACATCCATTTTTATACATCTACATCTATTTCATTACTAAATGTACCTGTATATATTGAAAACATGTGCTCATACTTCCAATTCCAATCTAACACCACACGAAAGCTTTCCCCCTTTTCATATTTGTGCCTCTCTTCTCAGTGAGAAAGATGGTTCCTGTCATCCTCCACGTATTTGCTTCCTTGCCGTACACCCTGTGTGTAACCATCCACTCATGGCCCAGTACCCATTGAGTCAGTGCTTTGTTCTGCCACCTACATAGCTTGGCTTCAGATTCATAGGATGAGAAGAAGGACGGCCCCTAAGAGAATTTTGCTGATATTTAAAAAGTATTTTTCTTCCCCACTGAATTAATTAGGTGTAAATAATTTTCACTGTGATATTATGATTTCAAACAGGTCTATAGATGAGACAATTTGTTTACTTCTGCTAATCATGACAGTGCTCATCTCTACTATTATTTAGGGGTGTTTGAAGATAGAGAATAAAAGCTGGGCAGAAATTGTAGGTAGATCAGGAGAGGTACTTCAGTGTAATAACACGAGATAGAAAATAGGGGCGTGACAGTGATAGGGTGGAATTTAAAATGCTGGAGAACCTGAAGCTTCCTTCTCCTTATTTTCCCTTCCCTCATATTTCTACTCTCAAGTCCCAGTAAACAACAAAATTTTGTTGCTGTTGTTGTTTGTTTCCTTTATCTTAAATGCCTAGTACCTAGTAAGAAAAGCAACATAATTTAAGCTAATTTTCAACTGCCCTATCTTTGATGTACTGGGCAGTGGGAATGAAAGCTGGAGAACCACAGGAAAGGGTCACTGAAAAGAGGGGAGTAGCTGGAGAAAGAGCTAGATCAGAAGGAAATTTGAGAAGATTAACAGAATCCAGGAGTCCCTGGGTGGCACAAACAGTTAAACACTCAGCTACTAATCAGAAGGCTGGCTGGTCAAACTCACCCAGAGATGCCTCAGAAGACTGGTGGTCTGCTTTCCAAAGATCATAGCCTTGAGAACACTATGGAGCAGTTCCACTCTGCAACTTGTGAGGTCACCATGAGTTAGAGTCAAGTCGACAGCAACTGGTCTGGTATAATAGAATCCAGTCAGGAAAAAAATGAGGAAGGAAGGGACATACCGGGGAGGGTGGACAAAATTATAATAGGACTTTGCACAGAGAATGGCTGATGAAAAGGCATTTCAGGTGGCATAGATTGTCATTAGAGAACTGGAGATATGTTCATATTTGCTTTTTGGAGCTTAGGGGCAAAAGATGTATGGAGAATCCATGTGTTTGTTTTTTTTAACAAGTTACTTCCAAACTTAAGTAAAGTGATTCCCTCTTTGTTTTCTTGTTTTTAGGTGATGTGCATTCTGTCCTCTAATCAGAAGAGCTACTATGATTCCATTAAAAAGTACTTGAGCTCGGACTGCCCAGTACCGAGCCAGTGTGTGCTTACTCGGACTCTGAATAAACATGGAATGATGATGAGTATTGCCACCAAAATTGCCATGCAGGTGACCTGTAAACTCGGAGGCGAGCTGTGGGCTGTGGAGATACCTGTGAGGAATCTGTCACATTTTCCTGATTAACCAGTCAATTAAAAAAAAAAAAATCTAAGAAGGAGATTTTCATATGATCCTAGAATTATTTGTTTTGTTTGTTTATGGTGTGTGTGTTCTGGGTTCTGGTGTTATAGAAGCCGTTGTGGGGATATGCAAAAGAAGGTGAGGCCTGGACCTTGTTCTCAAAGGGCTTCAGTTAAACTGAGCACTTAAGATATTTTATAAAAGAGTGTCTAGGTGGGCATAAACTTGGAAGGACTTGATTTGGGTCCTCCTAAATCATTAAATCATTTAAATCACTAATTAAAATAAGTGTTTTAGCTCACTGCTTCCATAGTGATACCGCCTTGGAAACCCAAGGAGGGTTCGCTATGAGTCGGGTTCGACTCCATGGCAAATAACAACAACATGTGTACCTGCTTTCATCATGGTGCTCACTCTCAGAGTAGCCCTGCACACTGGATGCGCCCTCCTCAAAGCTCGGGGAATTGGTGTAGCCTATGATCTGAACTCCAAACTGAGAAAATCCTTTTTTCTCCTGAAATACAACTCCTGGGGCTGCAAATGAGAGGAATGAGAAATGAGGAAATGTTGTTCACGGCCTTACATTTCCAAAACCAGATGGGGGAGTGTAGTTACCCCCAATGCTTCTCCTGGAAGCCTATGGTCGAATGAGCGTTCCTTAGCAATAAAGAACAGAATGGGGAAAGGAAGTACTTATCAGGTTCCTTCCACCCAGAGACAAGGAATAAATGGGCTAACCATTTTCCCAAAATCTCTTCAGCCTTTAGTACCCCTTGTCCACCCCCACAGAAGATGATGGCTTTTTTTGTCTAATGAGTCTCTTAAGCAACAAATTCCTCCCTTGTCTTTAAATTTCCTTGGTTTCTAATTGAATAATCTGTTTGATTTGGACCTTAATCTTCCTGGCACGTATCTTAATTTAAATAATTTAGTAACTGGGACAGTTTTTGGAAAACTTCAAATTCAATCATTGTTCGGAGAATGCAACCTTATCCTATTCGATCATGAAAAATTTAATTTTACAGTTAAAGTCCCTGATGGTGGTTGGTATTGATGTCTGTAAAGATACTCTGAACAAGAGGATGGCAGTGGTTGGATTTGTGGCCAGCATTAACCCCGGAATTACCAGGTATGTTTAAAATTACCTTAATATATTCTTCAATTATTTAGACTATTAATAGTGGTTTAACTAAAGACCATAATAGCAAGCAATAGTTTGTATCATTCACTCATTTTTTAAACACCAACATTTACGGTCAAAAATTGTGTTTACATATAAAAACATTTTTATAATATTGGGAAAATGTATACCCTCATTAGAAAACTATTTTTATGCATTCACTAGAACAAAGTATTGATCATGTGCCAATCATATTTACAAAATAATGTGTGTATAGAAACTATTGTGTACTTAATTATTTTCTGAGTGTCTGAACTGTACTAGGTACTTTGCATTCATTATTTCAAGCAGCTGATCTTTGGAATCAGAATCCTGGATTTGTGTCCTGATATGCCACTGACTTATTCTTTAACTGAGACAGTCATTTAACCTTGCTGTGCCTCAACATCAAACCCAAAACCAAACTCACTGCCATGGAGTTGATTCTGACTCATAGCGACCCCCTTTTGGGTTTCTGACGCAGTAAATCTTTATGGAAGTAGATCACCCAACATGGTCATCTATAAAATGGAGATAATAATATTGCCTATTTCATAAGACATTTATGGGTATTATGTGAGATAAAGTGCTTGGAATATTGCATGCTCAATACATGCTTGTTGTTTTATTGTTGCTATTAATACTTAAGGAACTCTGGTGGTTCAGTGGTTATGGCATTTGACTGCTAACTGAATGGTGGTGATTCAAACCCACCGGCTGCTCCTTTGGAGAAAGATGAGGCAATCTGCGTCTGTTAGAGATGTACAGCCTTGGAAACCCGATGGGACAGTTCTATGCTGTCCTATAGGGTTCCTATGAGTCAGAATCGACTTGATGGTAGTGGGTTTATTATTATTATTATTATTATTAATACTCAGACACTTGATGTGGTTGGTATTCATCCAGCTATTACAAACATAGACAGGATTAGGGATAACATGTTAAACACTGCCTCATAGTTCTCATTAAATGGTAATTCTTAGAATTGTTTAGCATTTGTAATTAAGCTGTGTTTTCAAGCTGTAGAAACTGTTCGCAAAATGTTTTCTTCCCACATTTAAGCTATTTCCATTAAACTATGGCCAGATATATATTTGGGTTTGTAGGAAGCAGGGAAAGCAGCAGCATTACCTACCTGCAGGCCTACATCTTTATTTCTGTACCTAAAATTAAGACCAACAATAGCAGTCCCTATAACAAGTTATCTTCTGCTCGGTAGATACTTGCCCCTCCCCACCCAGTTATATATCAGAACTCTGTTGATAATCATAACCGTCAATACTTTTCTAGTCCAGTCTCTGTGCGAAAGAATTAACAAAGTTGGAAGTATCCACTTTAGTCTAAAAGGCAGTGGAGGCAAATATGCATTGGCTGATAGGTTTCAATGTGCCATTGATTACATCACCACTTTTCTAACACAGCAGCAGCATGAGCACATTCATTAGGTGAGCCAGTAAATTGGGGATTTTATCTGCACCTCTGCCTCCAGCTTTTGAGAAAAGATCCTTATGCTATTGAAAGCTCTGGAATAAAAGATGAAGTGGCATGTGCTTTCTTTATGCATGTTGACATCATTCAAATGACAAAAATAGATTGCCCAACTCATATGATGACCTGTTAGGTACAAGTCAGCTCCTTAATCAAGCAGATAAGGGACTTGCAATTTGTTAGCAGCTTTCCCAATCATTTCTTTATTATTGCATGTATTTAAAAACCCAAAACCAAACCCATTGCCATCAAGTTGATTCTGACTCATAGTCATCCTATGAGACAGAGTCGGACTGCCCCGTGGGGTTTTCAAGGCTGTAAATCTTTACAGAAGCAAACTGCCTCATCTTCCAAGGAGTGGTTGGTGGGTTCAAACCACTGACATTTTGGTTAGCAGCTAAATGCTTTAACCACTGAACCACCAGAGCTCCTTGCGTATATTTAGAGAAACATAATAAGGCGTTGGTAAATACTTACCACTAAGTTATGAATGTCATTTTCCAAGTGCTTTTGAAACCAAGTAAAATAAAAACTATTTTCCCCACCCTGGTGTCCGGATGGAAAAAGATAAGTAAACTAAATTACCCCCAACTATTTCCCCATCCCAACAGATGAGTCTTCAGTGTAAAGAACTGAATGGAAGGAAAACATTCTTTCCTGCAGGTGATAGCCATGCTAAAAGTGTCTTAGAAAACGACTTGTAAATTAACTCTGGCCTGTGGACATGCGCAGTAGGGCAGAAAGGAACAAAAGTTAATGGGAACGGACACTCTCCCCTCTGCCCAAGCCCCTTTCAGCTGATGACAGGAAGCTGGTGTGATTCATCCACCTCAGGGGCAATTGTCAACCATTTCACGCCCCAAATTCCTCAACCTTTTGTGAATATGCATAACCCCCTCTTCCGAAACCTACAAAAGCTGTATTTCATGGCACCTCAGGGAGTCTGATCTGGGTATGAGGATAGCTCTACTCCTTGCATTGCCGCTTTGCAATAAATAATTTTCTCTCCTCTTAATCACTTGGTGTGTAAACTGTTTTGACCTCACTGTGCACTGGGCAGGGACCTGTGTTTGGTCCTATAACACTTTCTTAAAAAAATTTTGAGAATATTAACAGCAGACCATACACCAACTAAACAATTTCTACATGTACAATTCAGTGATATTGATTACATTCTTAAGTGGTGCAACCATTCATACCCTAAGTGCTTTTAATTACTGGATGCCTTTAGCAAGACAGCTGAAATCTAAATACATTAATCAAGTTACAGTTTCAAGCCCAAAAGTCTCACCTATAGAAATGGAAATTTATACTTGAGAAATCTTTGAATATTTCGAAACTAGAAGATCTACCGCTAAACTTGTAGATTCCTTTATAATAATAATAATAATTAGTGGCCTCTGCTTATTAGTGCTTACCATATGCCAAGCCCTGCTCTAAGTACTTTATGTATATTATTTACTTTAATTTTTACAACAACCCTATGAGTAATTAATATTTTATGAATCTCCTTGTTACAGGTAAGGAAGCGGAGGGTTAGGTTCACAAAACAGAGTCACATAAATCCAAAACTCATTGCTGTGGAGTTGATTCTGACCCTGTAGGACAGAGTAGAACTTCCCCATAGGGTTTCAAGACTGTAATCTTTATAAAAGCAGACTGCCCCATCTTTCTCCCACAGAGCTACTGGTGGGTTCAAATTGCCAACATTTTGGTTAATAGCTGAGCACTTAACCACTGTACCACCAGCATTCCTTGCAAAGTCACATAGCTGGTTGTATACCAGCCAGAATTTGAAATGGGATGTCTGATAGTAACATTATGCTTTAGAGTTTCATTTTAGTAAATTTCTTTTTTTATTTTTCTGGTGGAAGGGGACTTTTTAATATAATTTTGATCATATAGCATGTACAAAATCATGAACGTTGATTTTTACTCATAATGTCCATTTCTTAATTTAATACCAATCCACGTGTATTGTAGAAAATTTGTGTTGAACTTTGCTTTTGTCTTCTGCTTATTTTAGGTGGTATTCCCGCTGTATCCTTCAGAGAACAACTGATGTTGCAGATTGCTTAAAAGTTTTCATGATTGGTACTAAAAATATAGCATTGATGATGGGCTCCAAGGGCTGCTCCTTCAGGCCTCAAGATCCACATGCCTATGGCAGTCTAGATGGGTGGAAACACACTTCCCAATCCTGCCAGTGTCAGCTGTCACCCAGTTGGAGATTCTGAGAGCTTTGTGCTGACTCAGGCTGATGGTCAAGCTGTGTAGAATTTCCTTTTGTCTATGTGTGATAATAGAAAGCCAGGAGGAAGGAGAGTTTGTAGTTGCTGGTGGTCATCCAGTCAAGTGTTGTGAAGGCCAAAAGAATCTTACCCTGGAGGAACTAGGATTATGACAGCAATGTTAAGTCTGTGAATAGGGAAGAAGCCTTTGGGACTGAGATACAGGTGGCAATGGATTGTTGTTGTTACTAGTTGCTGCTTAGTCCATTTCAACTCCTGGTGACTCCATGTGTTACTGAGTGGAACTGCTCCCTAGGGTTTTCTTGGCTATAATCTTAATGGAAGCAGAATGCTAGGCCTTCTGCCATGCTGCTTGGTGGGTTGGAACCTCTCATCTAAAGGTTAACAGTTGAGTGCAAACTGCTTATGCCACTTAGGTACCTTGGTAACAGATAAAGTGTGGGCTAGCAGGGGAAGATGTGAAAGACAGCAGACAAGGGTGGTCTCTTTACAGTGCGATGCAGTGAACAGGCAGTCTGGGGCTCCCCACCTGCTCACCAGTGCCAGCCCACAGCTGGCTTGGCCATGCCCTAGCAGTGAGACTTGTACAAATCAGTTACTGTCCTGATCTCCGTTTTCCCATCTATATACTTTAGGGGGTTATAAAAATATTTTTTTCTAAAAAAAGTGAATTTGGTGGTATGTATTTTGGGATATGTGTTTGGTATACATATGGCTTGTGTGTATACATATGTCTTTTGCATGTTATATATACGATTATCATGTACCTAACGAAAATGAATTTCTTAGAAAGTTAGCTCTTCTAAAACAGTTGTGCAATATTATACTTTAAAAGAATTATTGCATCATATTCCTTTTCCTTTACTTCAAAACTTTTTTTTTTTTTTTAGCAGTTGTTATTGAAGTTTCTGTTGGGTAGGAGTTACTGTCTGGTCTCTGCTTTATAAGTAATTTATAGTTAGAGTGGGTGGAAATGTTTTCAGATTTTGTATAGTCAGTGAGAATTGGAGTCTAATTGGGTGAGTCAGTATAAGGAGATGTTTCCAGAGGAACAGCCAAATCATTTTCTTGTGTTTCATATTTATGCTCATTAGGGAAGAAGATGACATAAAATTATCCAGTCTATATCTGTTGAAAGGTTTTAAAGACTTGAAGAAACTAAATTAGTATTAATTTGGCTTGGGGAATTTTTATATCTACTGCATGAATTAAATTTTAATTTATTACTTAAATATTAAAATTTTACTAACGAGCTATGCTAAGTTTCAGAATACATTATGCCATAGAAATCATCTTGATTCCTCATATAGTGGAGATGCATGAATGTTCCCTAAAGTTACTCTACTCATTTTTATATTGTTGCAAATACAACCCAGTTTAGATATTACTCTATTTTACTGTGTTCCTAAATAGCAAATTTAAACATTGAAATATATGGGAATTTTATTTTTTATTGTCACTGAATGAGTCATTCTGCTCTTACTAATACCAAATTCTGCAGGAGCCCTCAACAAATGGTACAAGTACAACCATGGTTTGCCAGCACGGATAATTGTGTACCGGGATGGTGTGGGGGATGGTCAGCTGAAAACACTTGTTGAATTTGAAGTTCCGCAGCTGCTGAGCAGTGTGGCAGAATCCAGCTCAGATACCAGGTATTGCATATTGTTCTTTCCACCACACTCCCAATTATAGCACATTCAACTGGAACTAATAAACCCAAGGTATGCAAACGTATCTTTTTAATGCAGTTTTGATCTGTTTCTGTATCATGTGAGTGCAGCTGGGCTGATTTCTTCTAGATTGGAGAGTACTTGGTATTAAAAACTAAAAACCAAATCAGTTGTGGTTTCCAACTCATGGTGACACCATGCGTGTCACAGTAGAAATCCACTCCATAGGATTTTCAGTGGCTGGCTTTTTGGAGGCAGACCTCCAGGCCTGTCTCCCGAGGTACCTCTGGTGGTCTTGGACCTCCAGACTTCAGGTTAACAGCCAAGTGTGTTAACTGTTGGTACCATTCAGGGCCTCCACATAGTAGGGATATTGTTGTTGGGTGCCATCGGGTTGATTCCAGTCATAGAGGCTGTTCTGGTTACCTTGTGCCACTCTGACAAAAAATATACCACAAATGGGCTGGCCTTAACAAACAGGAGTTTATTCTTACAATTTGGAGGCTTTAGGTCCAAGTTAAAAGTGCCAGGCTCTATGGGCTGGGTGAAAGCCCCTCAACCTTGGGGTCCAGCTCTGTCTCTGACTCCCGGCTCACTGGAGCTAGAGGTGTTTCTTCACTCAGACAGCTGCTGGCTGCTGAGGCTGACAAGCCCAAGATTGACAAGTAAAAAGGCACAGTCCCAATGTTGTCCAATCACACAGCAGACCATTAATTTAAGTCCATTGTAAGTCCCAAGGTCAGCAGAGCATGGTAGGCTGCTGAGCAACAACAAGGCTACATGCAGGGTCCAAGCGTGCCATAGGCTAGAGACCATTCCCAAGGCTTCTCCTTATATACAGGAAGCAGACCACATCCCAAAGGCAGCTACTCAGCTGCTCAAATCCACCATGGAGCTGATTGCCAGTCTCATCATGGGGAATAACTACAACCAGCTGCCCAGCCACTCAACCAGGATCAGCCAAGTTGACACACAAACATAACTACCACAGAGGCCCTCTGGGATAAAGTAGTACAATTTCCTGGGCTATTATCTTAAAGGGAGCAGACTGCTACATCATCTTCCTGCAGAACAGCTGGTGGGTTCAAACCATTGCTCTTTTGATTAGCAGCCAGACTCTTAACCAGTGTATTACCAGGGCTCCTCATAGTCAGGATAAACCCCAAAAAACAAACTCACTGCCATTGAGTAGATTCTGACTCATAGTGACCCCTTTTGGGTTTCTGAGGTGGTGAATCCTTATGGAAGTAGATTGCCCAGTCTTCCTTCCATGGAGTGGCTGGTGGATTTGAACCACTGCCAGCCTTCTGGTTAGCAGTCAAATGCCTTGGTCTGATATAAATAGCCTGGGAGGTGCAAGCTCAGGGGACCCTGGGTGGGGTCACCTACAGAAAGGCAGGGAACCTCCTGTAGCTGACACATATTGAGCAGGAAGCTTGCAGGAGTGCTAATAGATGGAGACATTTCATACGTGATATGTCAGGGAAAAAACAAGCTGTGGTTTCAAATTGAGGTCCAACCAACACAGGGGTGAAGCCTCTGAGTCACACACAAAGGTATGCAGTTACCAGCCAGTTGCTGTGAAGTTGACTCATGGTGACCCCATGTGTGTTAGGGTGGGACTGTGCTCCATAGGATTGTCACTGGCTGAGTTTTTGGAAGGAGATTGCCAGGACTTTCTTCCAAGGTGCTGCAGAGTAGAATCAGACTTCAAACCTTTTGAGTAACAGCTGAGCACGTTAACCATTGACACCACCCAGGGATTCTGATATGCAGTTAGATCTCTGGAAAGTGCTGACAGTAATGTGTGTATGAATGTAATAAGGGCTGAGATGGGTGGGAATCAGACCATCTTAAACACCAAGCATGTGTTGCTCCATCATCACATTTCTAATTGTGACATAACTAAGTAATTATGTGAAACAGAAAGTACAAGGAGAATATTAGAAATGGAAAATGGTGGAGGATGATCATCTTAAGCCTCCTTCTTAAAATATTTGGAAAGTTTGTTATTCTAAGTTGTGCACAAAGCTCTGTCTGTAGTATTGCACCAGGCATCAGCCCTGTCAACCCAGGGGGCCCAGCCAGGACTCGCAGAGGAGCTAAATCTGGACCTCTGTCAGTTACTGTTAGAGAGGAGTGAAAGTCTCATAGCTTGGAGGCAGGTAGTATCTCCATCAACAGCACCCAAACTGCCAGAATTAACCTAAAAATCTCACTCTCCACTGACTCCAGGTGAATATATTTAATATCACAAGTGTGCATTTTAGGAATGTGGGTGTGCATTAGCAGCTGAAGTGTGAGGAGTTACTTTTCTTGCATGTGTTGCTGTTGTTAGGTGCCATTGAGTCATTTTCTACTCAGCGATCCCATGTACCAGAGTAGAACTGCGCTATAGGGCTTTCTTGGCTGTTACCTTTTCTGGTCTGCTAGGTCTTTCTCCCACGGAGTCACTGGGTAGGTTCGAGTCGCCACCTCTTCAGTCAGCAACAGGGTGCTCAACTGTTTGTGCCGCCAGGGCTCCTTTTTCCTGCACTAGAATGTGAAATTTTAAAAAAATTCAATATCAGAAACATTAATAATAATATGAAAAAGTAATTACAATGCATAAAATGAAATTTCATGTTGATCCTTGCATCCCAGAGAGTCCTTCCATGGTGACACATGCTTGGATTTGGCCATGGCTTTAGCAAATGCTAACTTTAACATTTGGTTATTCATCACTTGGGTAAAATGTCTATTTGGTCTGTCCATTCATCCATCCAGGCAAGTTTTGTGTAATTCAGAAGGGGGGATTTGAGGAGTCAGAGGAATTAGTGGTTCTTCCTTTGTTACTCAAAAATAAATTTGAAGAGCAAAGGTAGAAATAGAGTGACTATACTAATAGCAAAAAAACAAAACCCAAAACTTCTCCATAGATAGATAATTCTGGAAAATCTCTTCAGAAGTGCTAATTGAAGTTCATTGTCCTATTAACCTGGGAGCTCTGGTGGCATAGTGCCTAAGGCATTTGACTGCTAATCAGAAGGCTGGCAGTTCAAACCCACAAGCCACTCCTTGGAAGGAAGATTGGTCAATCTACTTCCATAGAGATAACACCTTAGAAACCCAAGGAGGGGTCACGACTCGACGACAGTGAATTTGATTTTTTGGAGTTTGGTTCTATTAACCATCCTCCCCAATACGCCCATAAAGTGATATCAACTAGGTAAATGACTGTGTATACCAGCCATCTGTTTGTGACAGATAAGGGAAATCCCTAATTTAAAAAAGTATAAGGAGCCACTCCTCAGAAGGAAGGTTGGGCAATCTACTTCTGTAGTGATACTGCCTCGGCAACCCAAGGAGGGGTCGCTATGAGTCAGGGCTGACTCGATGGCACACACCAACAACAACAACAAGGAGCTCTGGTGGTGCTGCTGCTAACCAAAATGTTGGCAGTTTGAACCCATTAGCTGCTCCAAGGGAGAAAGATTTACAGCCTTGGAAACCCCATGGGGGTTGCTCTGAGTCAGAAATGACTTGATAGCAGTGGGTTTTTTGGTTTTATATTTCTGGGGGAAGAGGGATTGTGAATAATTTTTAGTCTTTCTTTTTCTAATAAACGACTATTTATTTCATTAAAGAAATGACAAAACAAAAAAGTAAATAGAAAACTACATGACTTGGTGTTTGTTCTCTTCTTATTTTTGCCTCTTTTCCCAAGCTCCAAACTGTCAGTAATTGTGGTAAGGAAGAAATGCATGCCACGGTTTTTTACGGAAGTGAACCATACTTTGCAGAACCCACCACTTGGCACTGTAGTCGATTCAGAAGCAACCCGTCCTGATTGGCAAGTATCCTTAGAAAATTAAATTTTTAGAAAACATTCCGTGTGTGGTGTTTAGGTTTGGCCTTATTCTGTTTGCCTTTTTGCCTCATTCATTGCATTTTTCTCCCAGGTATGACTTTTACTTGATCAGCCAGGTGGCACATCGGGGAACTGTTAACCCTACCTACTATAATGTCATTTATGATGACAATGGCTTGAAGCCAGACCATATGCAGAGACTTACATTTAAACTGTGCCACCTGTATTACAATTGGCCGGTAAGTGAAAGCTTTTTAATTATGTAACTACTGATCCTCAATGTTCCTAGTCAGGAACTGTCACCCAATTCACCCTTGTATCCCTAGGCCTAACCCAATGCCAAACTTTTCACAAGTGAGGAATGAAAATGAATGAGGGACCCCTTAAGCCCACAGTGACAAGCTCTCAGTCTGTGATAGAAACAAAATAGCATTAACAAATATTATAAATATCTATTTATTAGTATTTATCATTTTGAGTGGACTTTTTTGAGTCCCTAGGTGGGACAGCAAGGATCTCTGGTGGCATAGCGCCTAAAGCATTTGACTGCTGACCAAGGTTGGCAGTTCAAATCCACCAGCCATTTCATGGAAGGAAGACTGGGCAATCTACTTCCGTAAAGATTGGACCCTAAAGGGGGTCACTATGAGTAGGAATCAACTCGATGGGAATGAGTTTGGTTTTTGGTTTTGGTGGGGCAGAAGGTTAAGTGCTTGGCTGCTAGTCAGGAGGTAGACAGTTTGAACCTGCCTAGAGGCACCTCAGAAGAGAAGCTTAGTGACTTGCTTCTGAAAGGTCACAGCTTTGAAAACCCCAGGGAGTAGTTCTCCACTGCACACGGGTTCGCCGTGAGTTGGAATTGAACTCAATGGCAACTAAGCACAACATCAACAAGACTTTTGTGTACACTATATTATGCAAGCCTGGCAAGAAGTCAAGGTAAGTATTAGTATTTCCATGTTACAAATGAAGAAGTTGAAGCCAATTTGGATGTTATGCCTGGTGGGAAAGCATTCATCGTCATGAGTCTATGCTGTGTTTCTATGTACCAGGCCAAGACATGCTCTCAAAGTCCAAGGCCAAGGTTTGTTCTGAGCCTCATAGGACATTTAGATTAGCCCTAAATGTGATGACTTCCTGCCCAGGAAGCCAGACTGGCCCCCACAACACCCCATCTTACCCAGTGAGTTTGTTTTCAGTGGTCAAGGTTGCCTCTTTGGTTGAGTTTAATTACCGTTGACCCAGAAACACATTATATTGTATATTCATTATATATTATATTTCATTCTGAGATGAAAAAGCAACAGTACAAACAAAAGATCACTTCACCCGAAGACCTGTTTAATTTTTATCAATACTTTTTCCTCCTCAGGGCTTAATCAGTATCCCAGCCCCTTGCCAGTATGCACACAAGCTGACCTTTCTGGTGGCACAAAGCATTCATAAAGAACCAAGCTTGGAATTAGCCAATTCTCTCTTCTACCTGTGATGGGAAGAACCACTGGTATCTCTGGATGAAGAATCTGAGGAGTAGTTGGGATAGTTTGTGCAAATCTTCCATAAGCTCAAGGCTGTAACTAGGGCAGGAGGATTGAGTCTGTTTGTTTGTTTTTTAAATTTTTTTTATGAAGGGGTTCAAAAGAAATGTGTGTTATTTTATTTTAAAGACTTATATGCTTAATGTAAATTCACAATGTGGTATATGGAATTAAAATATACCATTGCCTATAAAGAATTCCACAAGCTAAATACCTTCTAAGAACATCAGTGTGCTTGCATGGTGTTTTGATTGTAGTTAAATGGGATCCAGTTCCTATCCTAAATTTTGCAGATGCTTTCTGAAACAGATAATGTTACAAAGCATTTTGTAGAATAGTTTAAATAATTATTAGAAAATAAAGAAATTTGAGAGTGTCATATATGTGTTTATTGTTCAAGTTAATGTTACACGTGATCCTCATATAAATGCTTTCAGTGAGGACTCTTACCCACCACATCATGTCACCCTCACTCTTTGAGTTATATTTTTAAAACAGAACTTCTCACTTGCCCTCTTGATGGGACTTTGTTTCACTTTTGGTGATGACTTTGCTTCCTACTGTACTGAGAAAACAGAAGACCTCAGAAGAGAACTCCTACAGGTTCCACTATATATACCCCCCTAAGAGCATCTGGTGGTACATAAAGTTGACGCACTTGGCTGCCAGCTGAAAGGTTGGTGGTTCTGGGCCACCCAGAGGCACCTGGGAAGACTGAAAAATCAGTCACTGAACCCCCGTGGGGTGCAAGTCCACCCTGACACACACTGGGTGCTGTGAGTCAAGGTCGGCTCCACGACCATTCCTCCTCCTCTCCCTCCCAGTTCACCTGAAGGCCTAAAGACCTGCCAATACCTGCCACTCACATTGGGCTCCGCACGGCAATCCTTTCCTTCCCAACAGGGACCTCACTGCCCCAGGTATTTCCTCTGTCCCACTCCTGCAACAAGGGGTATTGTTACTATAATACTCCACACCCGCTTGGTGAATGGAGGTTCAGCCATCCCCCACTCCCACCCACCTTCTGGGACCGCAGGAACTCCATCCCACTCTGTGTGCTTGGATGGAGCCTGGGTGCCCTGCCCTGCCTTCCCCCAATTTTTTTTTTTTTCTTTTTTTTCTGGTTTTTAGTTTGCTTGCTTTTGTCTGTTTTAAAAGTACTACTATTATTAATACTTTTGTCCTTTTTACTACTATTCTTTATTCTCCCCCTTCCAGGTCCTAGTTTTCACCTTTTTTCTTTTCCCTGTTCCTGGTTGCAACTTTTTTTCCTTCTTTTTTTCTCGTGGTTAACCCCATTCCTTGGTTTTCTTTGTGCATTTTTCCCATGTTTTTCTTCATTATTTTCCTTCTCTGCCTTTTTTCTCTTATTGCCCTATCCCCAGATATTGCAAGTTTTCTTGTTTTTTTTTACTGACCTTCTTGTGTCTGGAGGGCACAGCCATTTTGATTGTTTACAAGTGGCCATTTTGGATATTTAAAGTGACTGAGGGTGCAGCCATTTTGAATGTTTAAAGTGGCAACCGTTTTGGATTTTAAAGTGATAGCATTCTCATTTGGATTCCAGGGACCTAAGAACAGGCAGTGAGGCAAAAAGCAGGGAAAGGACAAAAAAAGGCAAAGAGAACTGGAACAGATTGAGGAGTCAGCCGCAGGGACCCAGGTGAGGAGAGGGAACCCAGGCCACCCCCCACAAGCAGTGAGGTGGAAAGCAGGGAGAGGACAGAAAAGGCAAAGGGAACTGGAACAAATCAAGGAGTTAGCCACAGGGATCCAGGTTAGGGTGGTTAGAGGGGTTTCCAACAGCTAAGGGAGACAAACTTTTCTGTCAGTTTGTCCTACTGTGGTGAAGTATTGCTGTGAGTCTTGAGGCTGTGCCATTGGTGTTTCAAACCCAGTGGGGTGCGCCTGATGCACAGGTATCAGCCTGGCTTGCAGACTGAGACAGACTAGGAAGATGGAGGAGGCCATCCACTTCTCAAAGAATTGGCCAGGGAAAACCTTATGAATAGCAGAGAAGCACTGTCTGATACATTACTGCACAACTTTATGAATAGTCCAG